CTGGCACAAACGTCAACAAACATGCGCAAACCATCATGAACTTGTGACAACAATTAAACCAGCACTCACATGGTTCAACAAGCAAAATGTAACTCCTGATTCTGTCTGTGACCCTTTGCCCGTGTCAATGTAGGCCAGCACAAACCGACCAACCTGTGAACACTTGCACGTTTAATTGCCATCAAAGAGTTGAAAGTCACAACTTAGACTCATTAAAACCTTCATGTGACAGTCGGCCATCCATCACAGAGCCTGTTCCTGTGATATAAATAGAGGTCTGCGGAGCCTGGGCCAGCAGGTCTCTTAATAAACAGAGATTAAGTCACTGCACTGATGAAGACACCAGAAAGGCTCACATTCAAGGTCATTTATAGGGATGCAAATATCATAATCAAGAAGTATTTCTTTTCGTCTTTTGAGTTAGAGTCACAGTTGAGGATGCACTTAATACTGCTTTTGACGATTGTAACCGGATTGATTTGCCTCCTTCTGACTTCTAATTCATAACAGTTTTTGGATGTGTTTCAAAACCTACAAGTCTCTGCTGCTGAGGCACTGCAGACCTTATTGCCCAAGCGCCCTCACTGTAAACACACACACACACACACACACACACACACACACAAAGTGCAGATCTACCCATGACAGGTAAGTAGAGGCTAAAAGAAGTTGATGACTCTCTAACTCCTTCCTATATTAGACAGCAGTTTGGCTGCAGTGAATAATACAGCGATAAGAGATTGACTTGACTTTATGAATAATCAGCATTTTGTGTGTAAGCGTAAGTGTAAGCAGAAAGCAGCAGAGACATGTCGACGTGTTTCTAATGAAAACTGCACTGGAGTAACACTTTTCTTAATCCTGATAAATAACACCTCTGCTACAAGTTCAATTCTTAAAAATAAAGGAATATAAATATGTTTTTTCTTCTCTTCCTTTTCAAAAGGAGACCTCAAGCTGAATCTTCTTTGAACTTTTCTTCTGTGAAGGTTTTGTTTTACTGGTCATTTGAACATATTCAAAATACATATATATGAGGTAAAGGATGAGTGTTCTGATTCACACCGAACTAAAGGAAATGATCGAATGCAAGTTGACCTATATGATAATGTTGGAGGTCTTACCCCCAGCATCTTGTAGAGGTAGTGGTACTGCTTGCCAGTGGAGTACAGCAAGAAGGTCTTCATGAACAGCCAGATGTTCGCTCCCAACCACAGCATCTGTACACACCAACAGAAGAGTCTAAACTTACAATTACAGAAATTAAAATAGCCTATAGACAATGCACAAAGCATCCCAAAACATTTTTTTTTTTGGACTAATGCTCCTTTTGTTGATTTACATTTTGCAGGATTGTCATTTTACACTTAGTACAAACTGAAACTCCTTATCAATGGTACCCTCGTTGCTGTAGGTTGTATGGACACAGCATTTCAAGTGGCCACAAATAAGTTTAGTCAAACTGTCAGCTGCGGTCGATGGTAAATGCTACAGAACCTGAACTTCATGTTCAAGTTTTCATGAAAAACCATTTGTTAGCACACGCGAATGAAAGAGCAGCCTGCGATAAAAAAGTGCAAGAGCTTTGAAATGTAGCTGACGAAAGTTCCCCCCACCAGGACGAAGTGCTTTCCTCCCTCGTTGGCGACCCAACTCCGAACCGACACAACAACCATGATGCCTTCACTGGCTCAAGCAGCTGTCCGAACTTCCCAGCAGAGCCTGTGGTGAGTGGCTGAGAAGTGAAGACTCCTCGTCTGTGTCTTTCCTAATCACTGACTGTGTGCAGCTTCCGCAGACCGGCCGGTGTCTGCTCCGTCCTCCCTGCACTCCTCCGTTACACCGCTCCTTTCTGCTTTGGGCGCATTCTCACTCCTCGTCCCGTCCCCCCGTCCCCCCGCAACAAGCAGAGAAGCTCTGTCCGAAACACTCACCGCATCTCTGACGCCTTTCTGCGTGCTTTACGGCGGGCGCTGGACGCTAAGTTAGTGTAAAACACATTGTGGTTAAATTGACAGTGGGCAGAGTGAAGGTAACCACCGAAAAAAGACAGGAGAACAATGAGCGTTAAGTCCACTCTCCCTCACCGCTCCTCTCTGTCACTAGAGGGCGCCACAGTCAAACAGCTCCTAATCCTCAATTAGGACCTGTCCTCAATGATTTTCATCAGAGGTAAAACTGAATATATGACACCTTTTACAAGGGCTAGTTGTGTCCGCCAGCGGTGAAGCATTCAAACCCTGTTGCACAACGCAAGACTCCGGCATTTAAAATGATACTCAAGTAAAGAAGTTTATTATGTAAGTATGATCAGAACATTTCCAACCTAGAGGCCTTTACACGTTTGATGTGCTCAAAGCAGAAACAATACATGCATTTCACAACTCTTTGCATGAATTTAAAATGGTCAACTCAAAGCTATTTTCATTCTGCTGATCATCTTCTTGATTAACCAGTTAACCATGCTTTTGCTCACCTAATAGTACAAAGGTATTAAATATTAATAAAATGTGGTTACTGACAGTACTTGAACTACTTGAGTAAAATTGAAGAGAGGATTTGATGATAAAAACTCTTTGTTGATGAACCATTAACATTAACTGCAGGTATGATATCACCGGTAAGTGAGAGATGGATTATCAAGAGATGACTGACATTTGCTTTATTAGCTTTTTAAAATAGCAAACACCTGCCAAAGGGACGTTCACAACCTGCTGAACCAAAGTTAGCTTTTTATTAAGGGCATAATTCTGATCGAAAGAAATAATCAATCAATCATTCATAAACCCATTCATTTGTTTCAATGTGTAAACAAATTGTGTAGGATTACTCATTAGAAAGTGGTATCAACAATGATACTACTGGTTGTAAGTGTTAATATCTGGTGTTGTAATAGAGTTGAGGCATCTTTAGATCAATAGTCTGATTTGTTTTTAGGGGATTAGCAAAGTGAGTTCAAGTTTAGGATCTTCACAAGTGCACCATCATGAAGTCTTTTAAAGCTGTTAGCGCCATCTCGTGTCTCTGATCAGAAATGCAGCTGCAGTTTTCTGGCAAACAGGACTTTTATTTTGAAATTAAGGACATGACAAACATGATTTATGCATGTGTAAAATACTCTTATCTACTATTTTTTTTTTTCGTGTTCTGGGGTATAGTGGACTAAATTCAGACTATGGGAAATTTTAATTCTACCAAACGCAATACAACTTAACACATTTTATAACCCACAATATTGAGTTTTTTTTAAGTTTTTGATGTTAGTTCTTGTTTTTAGAAATCATGAACGGTCAAACCATTTTCCTCAAAGCTCTCTCCAGCAGTTTTGTATGCACTTTGGATTACATCCCATTGTCTTTATCAGAACAGAAATGAAGCTCTGGATCATCTTCAAAATAGACATTTGGCTGAAATAGTTTTATTAACTATCGTTTTCTTTAACTCTGTGGCAACAGTCAAGGGATGCCCTCTGCTATTTCAATATTACAGTTCCCTTGTTTCCAAAGCCCGTTCCATGAAAAAATGGGATTATGAGTTTTATTTGGAAGAACTTGACTAGCCTGCAGATCTCTTATCTCAATCCAGGACTGAAGTCGTTTTACATCTTTGTTGGTCCTTATCACAGTTTGATGAAGTTAGGGTTTCTTGGTCATTAACGTATATGGTCTTCATCAAACTGCACTCCTTATTGTGCTCATGTAACCTGCAGATGTGTATCTTTGGAAGCTTTGCTTCCCAATTGTTTTGTTTTTTGGGGGGGGGGATTTGGGATTTTCATCCTATTGACTATCAGAATCCTTGAAAATATGAGGGTATTATACTGTTCTGCATGAATTGCATTAGCTCTAATGGCACCAAATATCAGTCTGATTGAAGTAATCATCAAAACATAGTCATGCTCACCAGATGATGTAAGAATACTTAAATCTAGTGTATAGGTTTTGGAACAATTGAGGTACGAAAACGTCACAGTTAGATCAAACAAAACTAACCTCCGCCATAAGCTCGAGACAAACGACGTGATTAGGATGAGGCAGATCTGTGGTCTGTGTCCTCCCAGCATTCCTGAGAGCAGAAAGCCCCCTCCCACTTCACGCTCCAGCCCACCGCATGAAAGAGACGTCCTAAACCCCACACAGCTGCTCGCAGAACCAGGAGGGGTCAGAAAGACCAGGGCTCGTGTGTCTGTTAGTGTGGGAAAATATGTCAACAATACAACTACACATAAGGTGAACTAAAAGTTAAGTGAAACATGTTATTGCTATATACAAACATGACGCCTTCTGAAATATTGTTGCTGTCTTGTTGGTTGATTAGACATTCCGATTACTGACCCACTTAATAAGTCCACTTTTATACTGACTAAAGCTGAAGTTAAAGAGTAGAAGCAAGATGTGTACTTAGGCCTAGCTCTGCCAGAAAAAAAGACAAAATGAGTAGTTAATTATGAGAAAGAAATTACAATCAAAAGGAGTCAAATTGATGTCATTGTAAGTCAAAATTTAGACTATTTGATTCTACATTTAAAAAGACAAACACGCACAAAAAGAAAAATGAAACAACAATAGTAAGCATTAAGCCAGGACAAAATTGTGTGTGTGTGTGTGTGTGTGTGTGTGTGTGTTGTGTGTGTGTGTGTGTGTGTGTGTCATCTAAATAGTTTCCCTGAGTTGCAGTTTAGTGTGCATGTGAGAGGGGAGGTGAGGGGTGGGAAGAAAGAAAAGAAATGCATTTGACAGAAATGGGCTTCAAGATGTGTGATAAGTTTTTATATTTACTTTTATATACACAACTTTACCCAACTCTGCTCTTCCTGCCCTGCATGCACAGCTTGATGAACTTGACATCATTTTAGAAGACTACACGTTACTTCTCAAGTCAAACATGCATGTTAATGCTATAGGAGGAACTGTCCTTTGAGTGTATTCTTGACAAACTAAAGGTTGAGTAACACTGAGTCAGCACTGAAATGTCCAAGGTGCACAACACAGTCATTACACTGGCCCAACACAGCACTAATGACTAGCTCCCTTTTTTGTATTCCTCTCCCACTTTTCACTGCCTCTTTCTTTGCCACAGATTCTGTCATCGGCCTCCTCCCTCCCTCGCTACCTCCCTCCCTCCCTCCGTATCGCTCGGCCATGCCCCAACTTTGCACTACAGAAAACAAATTACTCTCTCTATCTCTGGGAACGTGCACTGCAGACTAAGTTGTGTCAGAGTGTGGGAGCCTGTGGAACGTGCTGCATTAGAATGAGAAGGGAGAGCAGGTTAATCCAGTGGATCTGGTGGATTGTGGTTGTGACAGCTTTGTTTTTACTGGGCTTCATCATAGGTACGTAATAATAGCTAACAGAAACACCGCACATAAATAATACAAAAGTGATCAGACTGTATGCTCGGCCTGTCTGATATTTCTGAAAAGACCCTTGTTTTGCAGGATTAAAAGTACTGAAATAATCATTCTGATAACTCAAATCTATTCACTTCTGTTTAAAGCTAATTCAAAAGGCTCACAGTTTTGTGGTTGAGCTTCAGTTTGTCACTACTCTGATACATTTCACATCTGTTCGCTCACAGCAGGTTAACACACACTTGAAGCCATGAGATCGTAAGCAGAACTAAAACTGATGTTTTACTGACTGAGTATGCCTGTCCTTTGTGTGTGTGCGTGTGTGTGTGTGTGTGTGTGTGTGTGTGTGTGTGTGTGTGTGTGTGTGTGTGTGTGTGTGTGTGTGTACTATAGGCTGGTTTGCAAAGCCAACAAATCCAAACAATGCAAACCACAGTGCATCCAACAAGTACCTCAGAGAGTTTCTGGATGACATGAAGCCAGAAAACATCCGAGAGCATCTCAGGTAAAGAGAAAAAAAGCACCACCTACAGAAAATCTTCTTACTACAAGTAATGCGAAGTAGTACTAGTAGGTCAGTAGTTAAAAAGCAAGGTTTTGCATGCCAGATAAAACATTCCAGATCTCATCCTAGAGTTCTTTAAATCAAGCAGAAAGGTGTCCATATGTCCTACACTTTCTTCTGAATTATACATTGACAATTTACAGTAAATTGTAAATTAAGTAATAATGTAAAGTAATAATAAGTAAGTATGTTTATAGTCCCATGAGGATGACTGTGGTAATCCCCTCGTTTTTCATGTAACAACTCCCACAAGAGGCCAAGTCTTTTCACATGCACAGCAACTGAGGTCTTGACAGGAAGCTTAACTGAGGTTAACCACACATACCCACATCGACCTCACCTCTTTAACCCCAGTGACCCCCTGCTAGTTGAAGCAAAATCATGCCGTGCTGCCAAACATCGTTCAAACCCCCAGAACTTGCTCTCCAAAAACTGCAAAGACAGCAAGCATGATTTATAATTCCTGCTGTACTGTGTTTACAGAACAGCAGGGGGTCATAAATCATGCTGTCAGACAACTTTTAATAAGATAACGATATAAAAGCTAGTTTTTGATCACTGGTTGATACTTGTTTCTCTAAATAAAGGTAAAGGACCAATGTGCAGACTTAAAATTATTTATTTTTAACAAAAGGCAAAAAGGCAAAAGCTAGTGCCCGACCGATATGCTTTAAGGCCAATACCGATATTAGGGATAGAGAGAAATTGATACCAATATATTGGCCGATATCTTTCTTTGATCTATCTTCGATCTGTGGAGATAGATAAATATAGGTAAACACATTTATTGTGTGGATCCCTCAAATGCAGTTATAAAACACTTGTGTAAACTATGATGAAGACAAGACATGTTACATGACATGTACTTGCATCACCCCTTGAATCACTGGAGAGTGATAATGCTTGTTGTAATCCATACAGCACACTCTGCTGGTGATAGAGAACTGCTCATGTAATACAATGATACTCAAAGGAAATGCTATTTGACAGGTGAATGAATATAGTTATATCGGTGTATATCTGCGATAAAATCAGCCGATACCGATAGTCACTTGATATGCTGATATCGGCCGATATTATCGGCTGGCCGATTAATCTGTAGGGCTCTAGCAAAAGTTTCCTTTTTTCTTCCAAAGATCAAAATGCAAATAAAACAAGATCCAATGTAAGTCCAAACAAAGGGACAAACAAAACACAAGCTGAGAGATAAATCCACACAAGGAGACATGGAGAAAGTTTGAGGTCGGACTGACACTGAAGGGAAGTAACACAGTGACTAAATAGACACTGGGGTAATCAAGATGGCTGTGACACAGTGGAGGCAAACACACCAAGGCAGGAAATGACACACTAAAACAAGAATAACAAAATAAAACAGGACATTACTTTCAGGAACTAGGGAATAGAAAAATGCTCAGAAAGGGAAATCTAGAAACACAAGGAATTAAAGCAGAAAATGAAACAGGAATCACAAAGAACTATCAATACCTTGGAAATAATAATCAAACCAATATTATACATGACACCATTCACTGACTGATGACGTCCTCTTCACAGGAAATTTACACGACTTCCCCACCTGGCTGGCACAGAGCAGAACCTGAGGTATGCAGAGCAGATCAAGAAAGAGTGGCTCGAGTTTGGACTGGACTCCGTGGAGATGGTGCCCTATGACGTCCTGTTGTCCTATCCCAACAAATCACAGCCAAATTACATCTCAATATTAGATCAGCTTGGCAACGAGGTACAGTCCATACGCAATATGACTTTTAATGAACCTTTAAGCTCCACACTTTTCCTAACATATCATGTCAGCCTCTCCTTCTACATGTCTGCAGCCTTTGAAATTGTTTCTGGTACTATAGTATCATTATAGTTTGCGCCCATCTATTATAGCATTAGGCGGGCTGTCATGCCTCATACAGGCAATTTAACACTATTGCCTCATGTTTATATTGAGTAACTCTGCTTTAGTTTTATAAATGCCAAAAAGTTTGTTAAACTAACAAAGTTTTCCACTGAGAGCACTCTGATGAGAACTCGATTTTCCACACTCACCCCACTAAATCTCAGGATTTTTTTTTTTTTTTTTTTCTCACGCACTTTAACAAAAGCTCTTTTTAGGATGGCTACCGGGGATTAGCAAAGTTGCAGCATTTATATCGAGATCATGAATATATTAAAAACACAGACACATTCTGCACTAGGCCTCATGTTTACCTAGCATAAACACAGAACTGCAAGACAGCTGGTTCAAGTCCAAGGTCCTTTAATAGCCTTTCTGTGAGATAAAACTAATAAATAGAGATAATGATACAGCGCAGAGGCAAGCAGGGGAAAACAGACAAAGGTTTACTGCACTGCCGTTACGCAGCGGAGAATGTAGAAACCATAATGTGAGACCACACTTCAGCTATATTTCAGCTGAAAAGCATTCACAGAGAAGCAAACACATTTAGAGGTTACGACATGTTTCTCACAGTAACCTGGTTAGCCTAGCCCTACGGTACACACAGCTGCAGATCCTGAAAGCCACTTTTCAACCGTAAGCAAAAATGAATCATGTGGGATCTGCAAATCACTCCAAATTTGTTTTGATGTATAGACAACAATCTGAAAACCACTAGGAACATTTTCTCAGTAAAAAATACAAATTTACAAGTAAAAAAGATATTTAAAAGTAGGTTACAAATAAAGAAAATGTAGTTGAAATATTAGACTAAAACACGATCAATATGATTCTAACTTTGATTGTGGAATCATTTTGCTGTTGTTGCTTGTTCAGGTTTGAATTGTTATGGTGGAATATTTTAATGATTTGATTATCTATTGGATTGATTGATTGTTTGAGTCTTAAAACTTCAGAAAAGGAGACAAGCTGTAAGAACTACCTGCATTCCAAAGTAACATAATCAGAAAGGATCATAATGTGTTCTTTGGTAAGCAAACAAAATCAAGAGTACTGCAATTTGTGGGCAATGTTGTTACAAGTGTCAGGATAATAGATCAAATAACTAAATATCAGATGTTTAAGTTCAGTCAAAAGAAACATACCTTTAATAGAAATCCTCATATATATATAATACATACTGAAATATTCAGTATTTTTGCATATCAACAAACATTTCTTAATTATGTAATTATGTTTTTTGTACATATTGTTGGGTTGTCTGGAATATTAAACAGCATCTTAATAGCCAAACCCTTGTATCACTTGTATTAAACAAATTCTAAACCAACAAGATGCAGATGCCCAATTACAACGCGCTAAAATGTAATGCTGCAGAAAATCCCTACATGAAGATGATGATCAAGTAAAAGAACCATCAAATTTGAACTAAATTTAGTATTTGGGTGAATGTAGATTTCATGTAGAATCCATCCCTGCGCACTGCTGACAGTGAATATAATACAACTTTAAGACCTTTACTAAGTTAAATAGGACAAGTATTAATATGTTATTTAACTTGGTAATTTGGTCTTACCAGGTTTTCAAAACGTCCTTGGCTGAGCCGGTTCCAGAGGGGTATGAAGACGTTTCTGACATTGTGCCTCCATACAGCGCCTTCTCTGCCAAGGGACAACCTGAGGTACACATGCGCACACACACACACACACACACACACACACACACACACACACACACACACACACACACACACACACACACACACACACACACACACACACACAAATCCATTGTATCACCTGTATTCATTCTGACTGTGCCTTAAGACCTCTCCTTTTTTTGTCTTTCTCCTCAGGGGGAGTTGGTTTATGTGAACTATGGTCGCACAGAAGACTTTTTCCAGTTAGAGAGGGAGATGGGCATCAATGCTACTGGGAAGATTGTTATTGTCCGATATGGCAAAATATTTAGAGGCAATAAGGTAAGAAAAACTTTTGTCTTATGTGAAAGGACTCCTGTTTGTGACTGAGTGTTGTCATTAAACAAAACAAAAAACGTCCTGGAAATGTCATTTCAAATACGGCTGAATTTGAATTAGCCTTTTTTCTTTTTCATTCAAAACATTGTTTAGATGGTTTCATTTTGGTTAGCATCTTTTGACATTTAATGCTATTCATGAAATTTTAACTCAATCAAATGTAGTTTGTGACTCACACAGAAAAGGAGGACATGCAAAACAAACAAATTTTGTACACAATCAAAACAACTTACTTTCAACTGTTTGATCTGTTCCACCAGGTGAAGAACGCTGTGTTAGCCGGAGCTAAGGGGATCATCATGTTTTCAGACCCAGCAGACTACTGGGCTGCCGGAGTCCAGGTAGTACAATCTGTAACATTTTAACAAAAGTGTTTAGAATCTGTGAAACTGTGTTAGAAACTGTGACAATCAATGCACTAAATATTGAAACCATAATTTTCTCTCTAAACAAACCTTGTAAATTAAAGGAACTAAAATAACAACATTAATTCATTACCGTCAGAAGTGACTGCTGAGCCTTCAAGAAATTATATATTATTTTTGAATATTTAAATTCAGGAGAGAAATACATTCTGGGGATTCAAATCATTATTTTTTAAACCGTGTGTGTGCAGCCCTACCCTGAAGGCTGGAACCTGCCTGGTGGAGGAGCTCAGAGAGGAAATGTTCTCAACCTGAATGGAGCAGGAGACCCGCTAACACCAGGGTACCCTGCTAAAGGTGTGTGTCTCTGTGTGCTTGTACCTGGACAAAGTGTTTACATGTTTGACTTTATCTATTAAAGTCTTGTCTCCTCATTTACAGAATATACCTACAGATTCAGTCTAGAGGATGGAGTGGGACTTCCCAAGATCCCTGTGCATCCAATAGGCTTCCATGATGCAATACACCTACTGAAGTAATTTTTGGCTCTTTATGTGCTTCTGTGTAGCTGACGGTAACATGCTTCCATGCACAAATTGTTTAAGTTATGTTTAGGGCTAACATTAGTTTTGCAAGATAATATTCTGATTAATGCAAAAAAAAAAAAAAAAAAAAAAAAGCTCTAGCTGCAGGGATTTTTTTAAAGGTAATTTGTCATGCAGAGAGGGTTGAACAAATTTAATACACATCCAGTCAATGGTTATTTTACCTTCAACAGGAACATGGGAGGACAGACTCCCCCCAACAACTGGAAAGGAGCTCTGAATGTCTCCTACAAGATCGGTCCCGGATTTACGGAGGGGTCAAAGATCCAGTAAGTGCTTGCATGAAGCTTTAATCATGTCCACGGTCTAATAAGTGATCACTTGTGTCCACTTTACAAAGTAATGGCATTATTCGTCGCAATCAAATGTTCCTCTCCAGTTAGTAGTCTCTCCTTCCTTATGCTACAATAACGTCTACACTCAGTGTTAAAGTGTCTGAATAGAGGCTCCCCTTTTGAAGCTCTTTTCCTCTTGCTAAGCTTTATTGGCCCAGTGGCAAGTAGCCAAATGAAGTACAATAGAGGCCCTTGTATCTGTGTGAGAGACATAAATACACGTAAATGCAAATCCAGGCCGCACAAATTAAGCACGTAGTATGTACCATAACACTATCCCAATTACAAACAAATAGAATCAATCAAATTTGTTCTTCTCCTACTTTGTCATCGGTATTTAAATTGATCCTAAAATAGTGGTTAAAAGTTAAACAAAATAAAATGAGAAGTTTGTATTTCTTTCCCTATCACTGCCTTCTTCCTTCCTCTTCTCTATTGTGTCATTAACCGAATGAGTTAAACAAAATGTACTTTAGAATGTTGTTCATGTAGTTGTTTTGCTCTCATAATGCTTTCCAGACTTGAAACATTAGTAATGTTATGTGAACGTTTTTTAACTATTTCTTCTCCGTCTGAGTCTCATGTCTTCCCTGTGTGTAATATGTCTGACACAGGAAGGTGCGTATGAACATCCACACTAACAACCAGGTAACCAGGATCTACAACGTCATTGGCCGGATAAGAGGAGCTCTGGAGCCAGGTACAACGTCCTAACCTGTGCTGTCCTTATCCTGCAGTTAAACTTGAAGCAACATACAAGAACCACTTATGATAAGAATATGGACACAGGTTGATATTATGATCCCCAAAAGAAAAACATGTTAGAATAGGAGGATTCTAGAACAAAATGGACAAAGGACAATTGCAATTCCTTCCATCATGTCTTTTTGCCTCTGACTGTGTGTATGATGTGTGTGCGTGTGTGTATGTATAGACAGGTATGTGATTCTGGGAGGGCACCGGGATGCTTGGGTGTTTGGAGGAATTGATCCCATGTCTGGTGCTGCGGTGGTTCACGAAACTGTGAGGAGCGCCGGAAGGCAGCTAAGCAAAGGTACAACTCTACTAGTGTGAAATTAGTGAATGATAGTGTCTATGACCAGTACAATGTGTGTGTGCTTATGTGCAGGTTAGTGACATTTCTATTGATTCTATCCTCAGGATACAGCCTTTTTTAGTTGTTGCTGGCTTTTATAAAGCACGTTCTGGTCTGGTGTCCCCACAGTGCCACAAAGTCAGCGTCATGTGTGTATGTGTTTTTATGTTTATAGGCTGGAGGCCTAGAAGGACTGTCATATTTGCCAGCTGGGATGCAGAGGAGTTCGGACTGCTGGGATCTACAGAATGGGCAGAGGTTTAATCTATATGCAATCACACATTTGCACATTCTAATACATGCACACAAAAACACAAATTGACCTGGTTAACCCGTCTGTACAGGACAACGCCAAAGTGCTGCAGGAAAGAGCTGTTGCCTATATCAACGCTGACTCTGCCATTGAGGGTTAGTGTGTCTGCTTACTCTCCACAACATACAGTATAGGCAATGTTGAGGCCTACTTGATATTGCTCGTGTGTGAATGTATGGATTTCAGGTATGTACACACTGAGGGTTGACTGCACACCGTCGCTGCACACTTTGGTGTACGATCTCACCAAACAGGTGAGCAGAGTTATTCACGCTTAAAGAAATGGAACAACCTAAATGGGTTTGGGTGAATTCATTTGGTGTTTATTGCTAACTCGCTCCCTGCCTGTCTGTCCGTCGTTTGTTTCTGTGTTTGCATGTAGATCGTCAGCCCAGAAGAAGGAGAGGAGGGAGTTTCTCTTTATGAGAGTTGGCATAAGAAGGACAACTGGACGAATGATCGTGATGCACCAAGGTACAAAGTTACAATTGAAACTCATCGGTCAGTCATAGCTGTTCAATCAAGTGATGTAGATATAAATTAAACAAATGATAACATCTGCCTGTGCTCCACTCTGTTGTGCTGCAGAATCAGTAAACTTGGGTCAGGCAGCGACTTCGAGGCCTACTTTATTCGGCTGGGAATCGCCGCAGGCAGAGCAAGATACACCAAGAATAAGGTGAGACGTGCTGCCTTAAGAGACTGATCTGCATAAAAATGAGTCATTGTTATGATTTAATTTGATTTTTTATGTCTTTGTGAGTATCAGTTTGTATTTTGGGGGTCCAATGCAAAGCATATCCATTCTACTACATCTTCTTGAAGGAACTGTTTTGGGTGAAATGTATTTAGCCACACTAATTTTACTTGTCTGGCTGAATATGCTCCTCTCATTAAGCCTGTGTATATATGGTTATATATGTGTTGGTTAGCTATTAATAACTTTATTTGAGTACTGGCTAAGATTTGACTTGTTTGACCTACATTGTATGTTCTTTGAATTTTTTGAGGCAAAGCTGCTGTTTTCAAAAAGTTTGCAATGACGGTTAGATTTTGCTTGACATCACGTTTGTGTCTTCACTCAATGGTTGAATGTAATTAGAGCATGACAACCTGGTTTTTGTAAAGTATCTCTGCCTCTATGTAAAGTGTCTTGTTTTGTCCATTCAGAAAACAGAGCGGTACAGCAGCTATCCAGTCTATCACAGTGTTTATGAAACATTTGAGATAGTGGAGAAGTACTACGACCCCTCCTTTAAGAGGCTGCGGGCTGTGGCCCAGGTGAGAGGTGGGCTTATCTTCCTGTTGGCTGATTCCCAGCTCCTCCCGCTGGATGTAATCCAGTATGCCGACTCGCTGAGGAAGTATGCTCACAGCATCGCACAACTGGCACAGAGGCACCCAGAGGAAATGAGGATATATGAGGTGTCGTTTGGTGAGTGGATTCTGGTCACTTTGTGCTTTGGATTAAGAAAAATGAATATTAAGTTAAGGTCAAATTGAAATGTTAATAGGAGAAAAGCAGCCAGCAGACTTTTCGATAAATCTGTCATCATTTTAAGCCTTTGTCGTATCTATTTTCAGATTCCTTGTTTTCTGCTGTGGAGAACTTCACTGTTACAGCCAGCGACTTTCATCAGCGCCTGCAGACCCTCAATAGAGCAGAGTAAGGCTGGGTTGACATTTGTTACATTTTAAATCAGTTAAAGAAAATAAAATGTGTTTTTTTGCATGTTTTAAGTTCACATATTCAAAACATATATGACACTGTACTGAGTAAATCAATTCTTAATTGCAATTTTATTTTAATTTATAATAAATATCACACCTCCAACATATATTACTCTGTAACAAAGCTTCCAATGAACACTATTTTTTATTTGTTTTTATTGTGATGAGATTATAGCTGAAAGTGTGCATCCATTTTTCTTATTTCTGTTGTCCCTGGACTTCTGTTACACAATCACCCTGATAGGGAATATCAAATAAAAATCATATAATTATCATTACAGCATACATCTCCACCATTAGTAAAGACCTTTGCTAAAACATGTGATTTAATTAATAATGACTTTAACTGGAAAACAAAAAGTCATTAGAAACATAGACTTTATGGCCGACCTCTATTGGATTGCATGCATTGATTGTGTGGGTGTGCCTTCGATATGACTACTGTGAATGTTTCGTCCAGTAAAGGCCATCAGTCTAATGTCGTTAGTGTGTGTGTGTGTGTGTGTGTGTGTGTGTGCGCATGCGCGTGTATATCAGTCCTCTGCAGGTACGTGTCATGAATGATCAACTCATGTATCTGGAGCGAGCCTTCATTGACCCCCTGGGATTACCCGGCAGACCGTTTTACCGGTTAGTAACAACACAAACAGTAGACTGTTTAACATGACTTACCAGGCACCGTGTTGTTTATTTTTGACTTTGTATGATCAGAATACAAATCCATATATCATAAATATAGTGTTCTCATAAGCTTCACAGACTGCACATTCATTCATTAATGCCTAGAGTTTGTTCATTTTACTGACCTCTGTTCTATCAGCAGACCTGCTTTTGGCAGCTGACTCAAAACTGAGCTTTGGATGTTTGTCATATGAGAGGTGACGATAAAGGCACTGTCCCGTGAAACACTGTGGTCTTGGTGACTTCAAACACAGCTAGGGAAAGACAGGCACCATCTTTCATGAAGAGCACTGTTTATTGTTTTGATGCTGCATGTATGACTGTTTTCAGGTGTTGATCATCTGTGAAATACTGCCAAAAATATGTTCCTCTCTTTCAATACTATGACCTTTGACCTTGTTATGGTAAGATATTGAATCTGTAATACCTCAAGTGTAATCCATAACATATATATATCATATCTTTCTCTCTTTTTTAGACATGTGATCTTTGCTCCCAGCAGCCATAATAAATACGCAGGTGAGTCTTTCCCCGGGATCTACGATGCATTGTTTGATATCGAGAACTCAGCTGACCCGCAGGAGTCCTGGGAGGAAGTCAAGCGTCAAATCAGCATTGCGGCATTCACCGTTCACGCTGCTGCCATGACCCTAACACCACCTGCATGAAGCACACATAGCCTGACTGAGAAATCTTTAAAATTATGTTGTAAAACCAGAAGAGAACAACACATCGCCTGCAACACACACAAAGCATTGACAAGCGCTGTTTTCTGATCGTCCAAAGCTCAGTAATACGATGACTTTTTTGTGTGTTTTTCGAAGTGTCCTTACTGGAGCATAACTTACACACCTGTCATTTAACTCTTAGTGTTTTATTTGTTTTACGCTGCTACAGAATAGTAATACTTTATGATTTGTTGATGTTGTTGTTTGATGTTGATTGTTTGTTGATGATATTATTTAGCTTTAAGACAGCCAAATAAATCAATCCTTCCTTTATTTGTAACAAAAGACAACCGATATCTCCTGCATGAAATGACTCTAGGAAAAAAAAATGTGGAACATGACAGGGATGGCACTGAGTTTTATATACGTGTTTACCGCTCTTTTTTTAATAAATGACTGTCTTTAGGCTCCTTAAAGAAATTAAGTGTTCCTTGCGTCTCTCACCAAACATTGTGTGGTACTTTCATCAGCTCACATTGGGCTGTACTGTCACTTTACTATAAGCTAACAAAATCATAAACTTAACATTTGATATTAACCTTATGTTTAAGATTAATCTCACTGAAGACATCAGTCCAATTCCAAACAGCATTCAGAGTTATGAATTATACAGATCAGAGATTATTTACTGTGTTGTGATAATGGATTAACAAAGATACCCTTTGTTTATCGCTCGTTGTAACTGTATTGCTTGCAAAGCTGCAACTGCTGATAGACTTTCCTGCAGATTTAAAGAGACAGTCAACTGAATGTTGAATCTATATTCAGGGAAATCTGGCTTTGTACGAGTGAGCAAATAAGTGTTTGAGTGGTGGAGACAAAGTGGTTAAATAAGTGCTGTCCATATACCAGCTACACGAATAAGCCAACATAATGTTTGTTATAAGAGGCAGACTAAAGTCATTTGTTTCAAAATTAAAAGTTTTACACTGTAGGACCATTTACACTTTTTAAGTGTTAAAGGCAATCATTTGACATTTATATAAACTAAATAATCCATCATATAGATAAGTCAGCTGTTTAGTCTGAGTACTCAAGTTCTGTTTCTTGTGTTCATACTTTGCTGAATGATGTTTTCAGACATCTGAATGCCTCATCTTTGGACTCATTCTAAAGTCTTCTCAAACACCATCTGTTCTCCACACTTTGCCTCTCCATCAGTCTCCCATCATTTGCTTCCTGACCCCGGTCAGCTAGGGTCCCTTGAAAGGAATCTATTATTATTATTATTATTATTATTATTATTATTATTATAGGATTCAAACATTACAACTATACATACCTTTATATGTAGAGATCCAAAGCCTGAAGCCAAAGTGTTCCATACTACCACTAGAAGGTGCCAAATATCCTCTTAAACCACTTTTTTTTAAATGCATTTTCTTCCATAATCCTTGATCTTAATAATCTCCTGGATTTTCATCTAAAACAGTCAGAGACACAGAGCAGAGTTATGTGGACATGTCACAGAGTTCATGTGAGAATACTTGTTATGAGCATGCTGTCGTGTCTGCATGCCTGTACATGAGCGTTTATACCCGAGGTGCTGATGGCCTCATCTTCAGATGATGACCTGTCTTGTTCTGATACCAGTCAAAACCCACACAGCATCATCTTCATCATGTGGAGACTGAGACGGGGAGTTTAGAGGTAAAGGTTGATGAAGACTCAGCAAGGACACAACACATCGGAAGAATTATGTTCACCCTCCATTCTTTCACTTTGATTGAAGCTCAATGTAGACTAAACAATACAGACCAAACCCTTTGTTGTTTAAACTTAGGGGTCAGTTTGTTCTGTGGTTTTCTTACTGCCACAGGAGCCCCAGGGTGGCATTTGCAGAAGGTGCAGCCTTTCAGTTTGGGAAAAAGGAAACAGACAAAAATGAAATCATGAGTCAGTTTTATTTGGGCTCATATTTTGCTTTAACCCAGTCTTTGTCGTAAATGATAAATGATGTGATTTTAACACTGAGACAGAATCAGCTTTATACCTCTGTCGTACTTAATATAACCTTTTTTCAACAGCTTGTCTCAGTCGACCAGCTCCTCATAACAATAACAAAAAAACACAAATAAGAGTTGTTCACTATCAGGATACAAGCGTGTGAAAACAAAGCAGCAGCAAGAAGAAGAAAAAAAAACGCTGAAAAGAAAAATAAAAGAAGCTTTTGTTCACGTTATTGTTATTTAATACACTACTGGCAACCTAACCCTTTGAGTGGATATCAATAATCTTTTATTTTTAGTTCATTCTTTAGACTTTAGACTTTACTTTATTGCCGCCAAGGGGAAATTCTTTTCCACTTCACAGTACAGTTATGGACAGCACGCCGACAGATAATCACAGATGGACAAACACAACAAGATAACATGCAGACAAATATATAGACAGAGTGGGACTGGGGTGTTTTTACTTTGGCCTTTTGTTGAGGGCTGCTATGGCTGCAGGCCTTTGCCATATCGAGCCCTCCTGCACAACAGGGACCTGTACCTGCGTCCAGAGGGCATAATGGAGAAGTGGCAGTTGAGTGGGTGTGTGTTGTCCAGTGCTATTGTGTGTGATGCGTGAGATGGCCTTGAGATTCAGCTCTGACAGTGTGGGAGTGGGGAGACCAATTAATTTGGCAGCTATGTTTGTGACACATGTGAGTTTGACCCGGTTTTTGACAGTGAGCATGTTAAAGAAGCAAGTGGAACAGTAGAGCAGGATGGGCTGGACAATACTTTGATACAACAGCAGGAGGAGATGGGGGGCAACATAGAGTCCTTTGAGTTTAAGGATGGCAGACAGTCTTTGATGGCTCCTTTTTTGAATGTCCGTTGTGTGCTGGTCGAAACTGAGTTTATTGTCTAGTGTGAGTCCGAGGTATTTGAATCTGTCAACTGTTTCAACTGTATCGTTGTTGATGTGAGTGGGGGGCTGGGGTGATGGGTTACCTATTGTTATTTCTTTTGTTTTGGCTACATTGAGATGGAGGAAGTTCTGTTTACATCATTGGGAGAAATGTGTGACAGTGTTATGGTAGTCTGATACAGAGTTATTGTCTGATAGGAGGGCGAGGATGGCAGCGTCGTCAGAGTATTTGAGGTAGGTGGTGGTGGGAGAGGGGCTGGTGCAGTCATTGGTGTACACGGTGTAGAGGAAAGGGCTTAGCACACAGCCCTGAGGGGCCCCCTGAGTGTAGGCGATGTGGTTGTGCCTACCCGAACAGCTTGCCGTCTGTCGCTGATGAAGTTGTGCAGGAGATGGATCAGAATGGGTGGAGTGTTGAGGTTATGTAGCTTCTGGATGAGAAGGTGCCTTTGGATGGTGTTGAACGCGGAGCTGAAGATGCAGCAGGCAGGCGACAGCGTCCTCTGTGCCCCTTTTTTTCCCCTGTATGCGAATTGGAGGGGGTCCAGTTGAGGTTTTACAAATGGGAGATGGTCTTGAGCAGCAGTTTTTCCAGGCATTTCATTATTATGGGTGTGAGGGCAATGGGGTGGTAGTGGTTTAGTTCGGTGGGTCGTGGTTTCTTAGGTACAGGGATTATGGTTGCACTTTTCCAGAGGAGGGGTATTGGGGTATACAGTCAGGTATGATTCACAGAAGAGGGAGTGGGCAATTGGAGCCAGTTCTGTGGCACAGGTCTTCAGCACCCTTGCTGGAATGCTGTCGGGTCCTGGGGCCTTGAATGGATTACATCGGCTGAGCTGGTGGCGAACTTCCTCCACTGTGAACGGGGCAGGCTCATTGGGATCTATTGGGGGGAGCGCCTTCAGTGCTTTCATGCACTCATCTGAAAAATCCTGTGTGTCAAACCGGTTGAAGAATGTGTTCAGTTCAGTGGTGAGAGCATCTGTGGTGTGTGATTTTGTTTTGCTGTGAGTGGGTTCATATCCGGTGTGGGTTTTTACCATTTGAAAGGCTTCTTTTGTGTTCATGTTGCTAAACTTGTGCTCTAGTTTGTTTTTGAATTGTATCTTGGCCATGAAGATTTTATTTTTAATATTCTTGCCTGTTTAGGTTGTTTGTTTTCATTTGGTAATAATCTTCAGTGCTAACTTTGTGGACAGGTCTCTATAAAAAAAGGTTTGAATTCCAATAAGACCTTTGCATTGTTTAACTATGGACCAGGAAAATATTACATATTTACTTGTTATGAGCATGACCAAAATATTACACATTTTCCATAAATAATACAATTTGAGAATAAAATCAAATTTTGTGAAAGAATCGATAATTGAAAAGATACATTTGGAACCAAGTTAAAACTTTGATACTTTCCACCTCTGTAATGCACTGTAAACATAGAAGACACAATGCTGCTGTATCTCACCAGATACATTTACATGCATCTTCTAGAGAACTGCTATTTGCATGCTGGATGACTAAACAAACCATTCTCACTGTTATGGATCTGAATCTGGATTTGAATGTGGCTCGAGGAAACAGGGAGTAGTTGTTTGATGGACACACAGATCATTTTTATATTAGTTCAATGTGTCTCGAGCTTTCCTGCTTTGAACATTAAATTCAGTGGAAAATAGTGTTTGTTAGGAGCACGACAGAAACATCACACATATGAACTAAAACACTATGAATGGCTGTGATGTTGATTAATACAATTAATACATTTTGAAAAAAAGGGGTCAAACTGCATGTTTTGCTGACTTTTCTGGATGCATGAAATAACCCAAAGGAATACTAAACAACTATGAACCTTCAGTTTCAAACCCACTGCTATATGAACATTCTACACGTTTGGTTTGCCAAAATTGTCGAACAAATGTAGAGAGACAACTGTTTCACAGGGACACCTCTAGTCACAAGACACAAACTCTACAGAACATCCATCCATCATCTTTACCGCTTTCCCTGTTCGGGGTCCCACGGGGGGCTGGAGCTGATCCCAGCTGTCATTGGGCGAGAGGCGGGGTACACCCTAGACTGTTCGCCAGTCAATCACAGGGTTGATATATAGAGACAGACAACCAGTCATACTCAAACTCACAGCTACGGGCACTTTTATTTTTTTAGAGTCGGCAATTAACCTAACAAGCAGGGGCGTCATGCAAGCCAAAACTCTGAGGGGGCTAAGTTAGAGTTGGGTCAGGGGTCCTTCTCTGAAAAAAAGGGAAGAATTATGCTATTTTCAGCATTTTGAAACATTTATAATCAAAAGCAAAATGGGTATTATTCCTCACATTCTAATTGATCATTTCTTCATAGCTTTTCATAGCAGATCTCTTCCATGCTTGAAATAGTATTTATCATTACTACAAATTATATAAAAATACATATTATTTTTGATAATAAAATAATAAAATCCTGTCAGATTTTTTTAAATCTCAGGGGGGCTCCAGCCACCCCAGTTTTAATGGGCATGACACCTATGCTAACACGCATGTCTTTGGACTGTTGGAAGAAGCCATAGTACCCAGAGAGAATCCACGCATGCACAGGGAGAACATGCAAACTCCACACAGAGAGGCTCCTGTCCGACGGGGACTCAAACCAGGAACCTCCTCACTGTGAGGCGACTGCTCTAGCCTCTTCTACAGAACTTCTAGAGTTTGGAAAATAAAAAATGTTTTAGAGTGATTAAGGCGGTGCTGTCAGGTGACTTTGGCTCATCTGAAGTGGGTATATCCCTTAACATTCAACACATTAACGATATAACATGAGGTTACCTTTTCCTTTGAAATATATAATTCATTTTTTAAACTTTTAAATTGGGTGAGAATCTTACTGTAATTGGACTGCTAATCAAAAAGACATACATGGCTTAATTTTAGGTGAATGAAACTGGAGTGGGTGTATTTGGAGTGGGAGTGGGTGGAGCGTGTAAACAGCTCTATAAAGAGAGGCACTCTGAAGACTCTATTTCCCATTTCTCTACAAACCCTCTGAAAAAAATGTTTGGAATGCGACGAGTCATCAATAACTGGGTAAGTTTTTGTCAGATTGAAACATTAACATTAACTGCTAATTTGGTGTTTAATCTTGTACAATTACTTAATAACATGCTTGCATATTCAGTCAGAGAGGTACTATGATTCAGATGAGGAAATATTTGATTGTAAAAAAAAAAGTTAATTAAGCTGTGTGTTATTACTTATTAGCTCTTTGTTTTACATGCAGAAGTAATGTTGGTCATGTAACAAACTGCGATGCTTGAATAAATGTTCTTCGGTGATATTACTTTTGTGATATGATGACATCATACTGAAACAATATTTGACTGTCAAAGCATTAGAACACAAACACAGTCTTATCGTGTGGATACGTACATCTGACAGCCAGTTATTTAAAATTATGCAAAATGTGAACTTTGTAACTTCTTTCTTCTTTTTTTAGCATTGGACCATGGCACACATCCTCCATCTATCCCTGCTGCTCAGTATGTTCTGTTACCTGCCTTTAGCTGTGATTTCATATTTATACAGGACACTGTTTATAGAGGCGTATTACATTTTTGTAGCTCAATTTATCAGGAATGATTTTTCAGATGATGGTTTAGTTTATATTTGCCATGTCACCACGCAGAGCAAGACTATTTAGCATACCTCGTAAGAAATGTAAGAGGAAAATGATGGTTTCTGTCTGCACTTGAATTTTAACAATATGTGTGGCTTCTTTTAGCTTTCCATCTTTCAGGTATGGTGTGGTGTCTTGCCAATGTTAGAGTTCCAGTAGCTCAACTCAACAGGCTTCTAAATACAAGAAGTGCAGAAGACTGTAAGAGTCTCTGTGCTGAAGTACCCACCTGCCTGAACAGCACATTTAGGTACAAAGCTGCTGCCTTTGCTGGAGGCCGCTGACGTAAACAAAATGAGCCCGCACATTTGTGCAAGCTAGTATATGTTAACAGAAATTATACTGTGTACCATTACAACCGTGTGTTAATCTGAATCAGTAAGGGTATTTCATCAGCCTCATATTTTCTTTCACATAGATACAATAAATGCATCCTGTATTTTAAGATGCCCAAAGCACTTGATTCAGAAAGAGCATCTGAAGAAGACTGCAGTTATCAAAAATAAACTCTTTAACTTATAATTCTGCCTTCCATGATGCTAATAAATGTAGAAAATATGACATAGTAGAGGACAAAAAAGAGGCTTATTCATTGTCTTACAAACAATGGTGTCTGTTGATGTAGATCTGAAGGGATCCAAAAAAGCTTCTAAATCATTCCCACTTCTGCATTCTTAAAATGGTGGGTTGTAGTTTATTATATTTGACATTGCTATTTATATTATTTGGTCCTTGTTAATCAAATGCAACAGACTTTTAAAATACCCTTGACAAACAGTTTGTATTTTATACATTAAGGGAAACTTTGGATGAAGACAGTTGCACCCAGAAAGATGCAGAGCTCGAGTGTGTGTGACGTTCGCTATATGTTAATGTGTCCGTGGGTTTTCTTGCAACTCGCACAAACTTTCAGTTTCACCTTTTTACTTTGAAAGATTGTGCAGGTCTCCAGTTCTTCAGTGAACGCAAGAGCTGGATTAAAGCCCTGGAGCACTGCCAAAACAACAATTCCTCTCTGGTTGAAATCCATAATCGGTCTGTGTGTATGGAAGTGGACCATCTCCTGAAAGATAAAACCCTCGAGAGTAAGAATGGAGTTTGGATTGGTCTGGAGCGGTCCATCTTCGGCTGCATTATCACCTGGTATTGGACTACAGGACAAAAAGTTGGGGGAAAAACTCAGTGGAACGAGTCCCATCCTGTGGACTGCTTTAACAACCACTGTGGAAAGATCATCTGGGTACAAAATGAATCTAAGTGGCTGGACGCTAACTGCCATTTGAAACTGCCCTTCATCTGCCAAAGTAGGCTGATGTTTTTATTTATTTATTTATTTTCATAGAATCCAATCTGCCATTAGGTTGTTTCATTAAATCAAATGTTTTTATTCTGTTCCAGATTAAACGACGACCACTGATGAGATTTGCACTTATGGTGAGCATAAATGATTTAAAAACTGGTTGTTTTCAGGCTTAACAACACAAGCGCTTTTTTTAATACATGTCTTTTACTCAGCAGATCCTACATAAAGACTGTACGGTGATCTGGAAACTACAGGGGCAATCCAACTAACCTTTTTAAAATGTGTTCATTGAATACAAAGCTTAATCATTTCACATTGTCCTTTACTTGAACTTCTTTTATCTTGACTTGTTTCATTGCTTTTGCTCTAAAAAAAAAAAAAAAACACATTTATATTTGGGTGTTGTAAACAACATGATATGGGAACATGTTTACTTTTGCTTCAATAATACTAAGCTTCAAAAGATCCACACACAGACATGTGTAAAAACAGTACGATTTAAACTATAAACCTTTTAAAAAAATAAAGTTTGTCGTTCATTCCTTAAATGGCGTTGCATCCAGATGTCTTTTTGTAAAGTTGTGACTGAATTTCCTCCAATAAATAAAAATCTTCTTTCAGGTCTCACAGGTTGTTTCCATGACAATCTCAATGGTAAAGTCAATATAAACAAAGGCATATCTGTTTTATACATTAACATGGTTATTAAGTTTGACTCATTACAACATTGTTCTAAGTCTGATCTCTGCTGTGACATTTCATTTCTTGTAGTCACGCTAAAAGTGTTTAGTTGAGTTCTCATGTTTGCATGTGAAATGAAAGCTGGATGAACACAAGCTGAATTTGAGTCGTGTGTGTGTGCGCTCTCTAACAGATATGACACACTCAAGAAACGCAGAATTGCATTATCCCAATTGTACAAAAAAAGCACAGAACAACAAATTATTAAGTGCATAGGGCGCCACAGGAATGAGTCCTAAAACCTGGAAGTAAGTTAGCATTTGAGCGCCATGGGGTTTATCGTCTAAAAGTCAACGGGAATTATGAATGGGTTTGTGGTTAGAGACCTGAAATAAGGTCTGTGGTTAAGAAAAGCTTAAGAGGTGTTGGCGTTTTGTTAGACCACATAAACTACGTCAGGTAATACCCCCTCTTGTGAATTTTGAAGTTTTTACACGTCCTTAAAAAGGCGGTTGCTAGCAAGTAGCTAAATGTGACTACAGTGGTTGTCGGGGATGTTAAACGCCATCAGGCCGGACACAAACGCCGGGAACTCTCTCACTACTCTGTGATGTCTGCTGTAGGTTTAATCTTTGGGTTAAGTCAAAAATTAGGTTAATAAACAATTTATTAAGATATGTGGATTAGTTTATCGGAGATCGTCTGAAGCATAACGGTAGTGACGTCAATATCATCCGACCGTGGTGTAGTTCGCTATAGCATAACATTAGCTTTTTACGCATTTAAAATTCAAACATCATAAAAATGGTTTTCATTTGTGAAGATTATCCTGCTGAACAAAACGCCTACGCATCAGCAACATGTGTTTGCCACAGAGCTGATGATCCAAAATCCAATGCAAAAATCCCATAGGCGAATTCTCATTAGACCCCATGGCGATGCTACTTCCGGGTTGGCCTAGAAAAATATTGTCATATGGTTTGTTCTCTAGTGCGTGAAAATCGAGGCAAATCAAAGTCCAATAATTTGTAACTTTCTTCAAGTTCTGTTGAGTGTTTTCCAAAAAAAAAACTAAAAACAAAACCCTGACACTTATTCCATCCAGCCCACCCTCACTCATCCTCCTGGGTCATTTCTCTAAGACACTCCTTTAAGTTCTCCAGCCGGTCTCTGTTGTTTCCCTCAACATTCTGTATCGTCTGCTCCAGCAGCTGCCGCACCTCGTCCAGCCCGCCCAGCTTCGGCGCGTTGTAGTGGTAGAGAAACCGGCTCAGCTGATTGTGGTGGCAGTCCGGGGAAAGTATGCCACACAGAAAGCGCAGGAACATATCGTAGTGGCCGAGCGGGGAGTTTAAAGTTCTCATCAGAGCACAGTGGACCAGGGCTGCGGCTGATTTGGCCTGGTCCTTGGATGCGAAGATCTTGGGCATGTGCACCCCCGCCGACTCCAGAATGTTCTTAGACTCCGTGCGAAACATTGTGAAGACGTACAGCGCTGCCATGAATTCCTGGAGGAGAAAAGGCGTGTATGTATTTTTAAGAATAATCGCAGAGTTTTGCAGTAAAGTAGCAGAAAAGTTTTCATTTTTAGAACATTTAAAACATTATGAAAGTTCTAAGCTCTGTGTCCCAGAGGTAAAGGTGTTGTTATTGTTGAAGGTTATACATACCTCTCTCTTGTATTAAGCTGAAAACGTTCTTGTTGAAAAATACAATTCATCAACTTGTTAAACCTGCATTTGAACTTAAACCTCTCTTGACATCTTGTTTCAGAGTTGTGTGTTTGGAACAGCATTGTAAGCGAGGTGTTTACATTATTCACCAAGTCCCACTCAATCCTGAGACATTCAATTATATGGGAAGATTTTTTTCGTTTCATTCTATTAAACGTACATTATGTAGAATTGTATTACAATGTTTCCATTCAAATATCTAAATTAAATAAAAATTGACTAAACGTCTAAACTAAATGTTCTAATTGTTTTTTTGTTGATTACTTATATTACCTCAAATATTTCCAAAAGTTATAATAGCCAAAGAAATTCTAAATGTAATAGTTGTAACAGGACGTTGCCGCCACGACAGACACTACATGTTTATCATTGCCATGGAAACACTGGATGTTACGCCAAAGGCCGCTACATAAGGAAGCAGGAATTGCTGATAAAAGCTGCTGTACTGTTGTTGTATGTGCTGCTTTGATACAACCGTCATGTAAATGAGCGGAGTTTGTTTTAATCACAAAGAGAACTCCCATGACGTTTTTATTGAAAGCGCGCTGGTGGCAGAATCTACATGCTGTGCCTTCTAATAACTTCACCCTCCACCCAGGTTCAGCTGATTCAGAAATACATCCCATTAGGGGATAAAGGTATTTGACTTCCATTTCACTGTCACTGAGAGTAGCAGCTACATCCAAGAAATAAAGTTCAAAGTTCGTACATGTCCTATGGCATTTCATTTTCATTTATGCGAGTCACATCTTTCACACAAACAGAGAAAAACAATACTCGTTCTATAACATAAGTTTGTCTTCCTACTGATACATTGTGAGGCTTTGCATTGATTCTATATTCAGAATGTTTCCTTTGTGACCAAGCAAACACCTCCCCTCCTCACTATCTTGTTTTCTTTCATTAGACTAACACATCAAATATCGCCTCTTACCTGAAAGGTGAGGTGTATGAAGCAGTAAGTCCTCCTTCCATCTGAGGCTGCAGTGGGGAGCTCAGCACACAGGCCAGAAAACACCGTCACCTCCATCAACTTTAGGTCGCACTCTTGGACGTCCTCCTCGAAGAACACACTGGTGTTTCTCTCCAGCATCTTAAAAGCCATCTTCCCAATCTTTTTCAACATGTTTCTGTCCTCATCAAACCATTTCTGAAAGAAGAGAGGACAATACAATTACAAATCAAAACCTGAACGTTCTGATATTCAATAGCTTTTACTGACATGCAAATTCTTGGAGTTTGAAGGAAGGCACATACATCATCAAAAAAAGACGCAAGTTATATTGAGGTTCCTTTCAGAAAAAAAAGGATTAACTGTAGGCCAATGCATCACGAGTTGTTGTTCATGATATTGTAGCGTCCAAATAAGTGAATAAATGCTCTTTAAAAAAAAACAAAAGACCAATCTAAACTGCAATGTATTCAATAAGATGTAATGAAAGTAGAACCCAAAGGGATTTTAGCACATCAAGTGACTATCGTATCTGCTCATTTTTATCTCCGCTGATATTACGAGATTTATTCAGCAGTCGAAAAGCATTTCATTTGAGTATCATGGTACCAGAAGAGTGTGTTAATTGGATTACAACAAGCATTATCACTTGTAAATGCGCAGCTACTATCCAGTTGAGTGATCTGTCTTCTTTATATTATCTATCTATCTCTAAAGATCGAAAGATATCGGCCTACATATCGGTATCGGCCCAAAAATCGGATATCGGTCGGGCCCTAAATAAAAGCTGAGAAAACTTGTGTATTGTTGAGCATTTTATTCTTATATTCTATACTTTCGATAAATGGACAGATAGACTATCAAAGCCAAAAAACAACAAACAACTGGACAAAGAACATTTAGACACTTCAAACAAGACATCAATAATATTACAATCAGTGTTTTAAAAACAGACTTTACGAATTATAGATAAAAGACATCTAGGAAATGTGATTAATATTCAGTGTAACATTATGGTTATGTTTCAAAAATGTAAATTAACTCACTGTGGAGTAAGACAGATCTAAAGAACAAAAATATTAACACAGTGACAAAATGCTATTTACCAGTTCGTTTTCCGCCTTTCCACAGTAGAACTGCAGTCTGCGATTGGTCTGGACGATTAAAATGCTGACGTAGAAAGGTGTCAGCCTGGGCGGGTGCACCCCGTAACCCTGGTAACGGAAGCAGCGCTCGAACACGGTGGCCACCATCCAGCAGACGAAGGGTTGGCGAGCGAGCATAGCGAGCGTCGGGAGGCGCTTGTAGTGTGCCACTATCTTTGCACTTAGCTCCGGGTCGCTGAAGCGTTTCTTCAGGAAGTCATCTTTCATGTCATCACTGGAGAAAAGAGGGGAAGGAAAACAAGAGAAAGGGCTTCAATGAAAACGCACACATGATCACACAGGATGGAAGCAGAGTACATCTACACACTCACCTGAAGCCCTGTATTTCTGTGACAAGGTCTATGAATTTGGAGGGTATTTGTGAGACAGCCGCACGTCTTCCCAAGATCCAGACGCGGGCACCTCGGAGCAAAGTTCCTCTGATGATATTCACGATCATGACGTCTGGATGTGTTTGAGTGTTATTGTCATTTACTACTGGAGCGTTCTGGAGAGAAAGTACATCAAATACATCACTTTCTTATCAACATAAAAAATGCCTCACTGTCTTATGAGTGATGATTTACAATCCATCATTTAGACTCGTTGAGTTCGCTGTCAGAGCTCAGCGTAAAAGTGCGGTCAACATCACATGTACATAAACAAGTGAAGTGATTTCTAAACTTGTCGTGGAAACTCTCTGAACCAGATCGGGAGGTGGTCCAGTAAGCTGATCGGAGAGCAACAGCTGAGTCTGGAGACCTTGTACACCAGGCAGTTGGAGCGGACAACCAGCTCAATCTTAAAACATGAGTCCCACCCTCTGCATTGTGAGTTTCAGCTTCTTCCTTCTGGACGAATACTTTTAGTTCCAAAGTGCAGAACATAGGAGAAGCTTTGTCCCAGCAGCTATTATACAGCAGAACAAGTCATAGGATATCTGTGTGAATCGAGTTTTGTTTTTCTTCTTTCTTCTTTCTCTTTGCTGCTTGATGTGGCTGTTGGTAGTTTCATGAAGGTCTTGTAAGGGAGGGACCGAGATAGCAGGCTGGGAAGCTGATGTCATGCTTCTTATTGGTTTAGGTATTTATTTATTTATTTTCTATTTTATTGTTCTAGGCTCTGTAAATTGTGTGATTTGAATCTGTGCTCTTAGGTAGAGTCTGTGTTTTCTTAATAATTCAGGTTCTTGATGTTTGACAGTAAAAACCGTGAACAGACCTCTGTGTGTGTGTGTGTGTGTGTGTGTGTGTGTGTGTGTGTGTGTGTGTGTGTGTGTGTGTGCTGATGTAATACCTCCCAGTCCAGAGAAGTTTGGTAACAATCGAAACAGTCCATTATGATGAGAAATTTACAGCCGTCTTCCTCCAGGTATTTCATGTCTTTGCACTCAGGATGATGGTTTTCTATCACTTCCATGACGGACATCATCGGTGGAGGGTTCTTATTCCGTAGAAGCCAAAACATTCGGAAAGAAAGTTTGATGACAAACTGTAGGTCCTTAAAAAAAAAAAACACAAGTGGAAGAAAATGTCATTTGAAGCAGGGCAGGCAGGGTTAATTTGGTTTTAAAGAGTTTTTAATATCAGTTTTCTGTTTGTTGAATTACCTTATTTGCACGCTGTTCTGCCCAGTCCAGGGAGAATTTCCCCACAGAGACAGACATGCCAATTCCTGGGATCCCCGTTGTCATTACCGTCCTCACCGGCGAGCCGCCTTCCTTCTGCAGTCGGAACAGATCGTTCAAGCTAACGAAGGTGTCGGAGCTGGGGACCTGGAGGGGTGACGGAGAGTGGAGTCTGAGCTCGTGGGTGGGGTCGACTCCTCCATAACCACAGGTGGAAATCTGGGGCTCAACGTAAATGGTATCTAGAAGATTCTGCTTTCCAGCTCGAACGACCCCCTCACGGATGACATGATGTTTCCTGATTAAATACTGCTTCAGATGATAACGGTACAATGCTGAAGGGGGGGAAAAGACAAACATTTGCATTCATTCATATCAGAATCAGATTTATTGGCCAGGTATGCTTACACACACAAAGAATTTAACTTCAGTGAACTGTGTGCTCTTATGTACAGGTACAACATTAAATACCAACAATAAACATAATAAGAAAAGACTAATATTTACATGACTAAACATGAAACAGTGCAGTGGTGCATAGTGCAAAATTCTTAGATCCTTAACCAGTTCTCTTTACCACATTCCTATTTCTTTCTGCTAAGTGATACATATTCAATCATGGATGCTATTTTAACCACTGTCTGAAAGGTCACGCATGATGAAAAATACACTTTACCAGAATTTTCTAACACTAACATGTGTCCTTAGCCTGTGTACAGACCCCCAATTATGAGAAAAGTACATCCTCTTCATCTTTTGCTGGCTCCACTTTTCATAAAGTGTTTGCTCAAACAGGGTTTTTGGAGTTTTTTTCCTTCACAATCGGCAGTAACCCCTCCCCCAGGTGGGTGACCCTCCCACAGCCAGGTATTTGTTCTGCCCTCTGAGTCTTCCTTTCTACCATAAACAATTGGGCATGATGCCAGAAAGCCCAAGCCACTGCATTCACAGCTAGAGTCTCAGAGACAGCCTGTTCTGAGCAGGGCTGATTTAGAGGGGTTTCTAGGTATGATCAAATACATGACCAGAGTGGGTTTTTAACAAGAGACTTCACAGACATGTTTTAGGAAAGCTCTTAAACGTATTTTATCTTTTTGAAAAGGAGTATAATATGTGACCTTTAAAACTAGCATTGAGAAGAATTAAGTACTGATTAGGTAGGTTAGATTGGGACAAAGTATAAAATTGTATATCTGTTTTAAATAAATAATAATAATAAATAAATAATGTATACTTTACTCTGTCTAGTTAACATGCTACACAAACATAGGCTGATATACACACACATGCACTAACAGGATCCTATGGACATGCACTAATGGAGAGGTCTCAGAGTGAGGGGGCTGCCCACAGTGGGCGCTCCTGAGCTGGTGGGGGGGTTTGGTGCCTTGCTCAAGGGCACCTCGGCAGTGCTCAGGAAGTGGACTGACACCTCTCCAGCTACCAGGCCAATTTCCGGACTTGGTCCGTGCCGGGACTTGAACCAGCGACCCTCCGATTCCCAACCCAAGTCCCTACAGACTGAGCTACTGCCGCCCAAAAGTACATTAGAACACACCTTACTTCTTCAAACTGAAAGAGAACGCAACCAATGCTTGTCCACTTCAGTCAAAATGACTGGTATGGAAATAAAATAAAAACACATTCAATAAAACTATTTCAGAACAAAACACAGATCACCAGAACAAGAATGTGTGTTGGGATAAATCAAGTGTTTACGTGCCTCTTTTGCACTTGTTCCGTAGTGCTTCTGCCGCCTCTTTCTTGTTGATACTTTCAAGAGCACTTATAGTGTGCATCAAAGATCGATCCACTCCTGCATGACAGAATTTCAAAACATTTTAAAATTTAAAATATGAGAAATGTAAGCAATTACAAATCTCTGTGACTTTTATGTTATTTCTCATATTCATAACAATGCATTTCAGTTTTAATTAAACAAAGCTTTTTTTCTGTTGGCAAACTGAGCAAAGTCTCATATTTGAGGATTATCTCAAAGCAAAATTCTAAATTTTAAAACTGCGAAGTTGTCAAAGTGTTTATTTCGCACGGAGCATGTAGAAGTCAAAGTTTTGTTCCCCGCTGTGATTCTGCATTTCACACCGTTTGCCCTACAATCATGTTTTCTTACCGAGGATCTCTATGAGTCTGTCCACAAAATCGAGAATATCTCCCTCCATCACATGCGTCATGGTGATGGAGGAAGTGCTGGATTGCCATTGGTAAATCCCCATCTTAAATTTGAAAAGCTCTTCCTTAGTGAGGTCTGTCACTGTGTCCTGGATACTCTGCAGACAAAAAGCATAGACACAAAACCTCCATGTTGTTCTCCTACATGTTGTTGTGCAGCAATGATGCAGGCACGGAAGAAAATTAAAAATGTTAACTCCATAATGTTTTAAACATAAATGGAGTTAACATTGGCAGTTTTTTTTTTTTTTAGTAAGTAAATTAGGTCAAAAAGAGTCCAGAGACCAAATCAACCTTCTCTGTGAGGATACCAATAACTTTGCATTGCAGACTTTGTGCAGCACTGACCTTGAATATATGAGGAAGGTCCTGCTCTGGGTGTAGTCTGCCCAGCTGACTGTTCTCATCCGTCTGCATCGTATCATCTACTTCAACAAGCTCAGGTGGTTCCGGGGAATGATTGACCAAAATTTCATCCATATCCTCCTCCTCATCGTCTGCTTCAGAGCACCCCTCAAGATCAGAAGACCTGCATCAACAGAAACCCACAGCATGGTAAGAAAAGGCAATGCAAATATCAGCAGAGGGTCACCGTGTTGTTTTGATACACTTGATTGGGCTCATGTAAAACACATTTTTACACACAATTCTGCATACGATTTGGCTTAAATTTTAAGCTGTAGACAATAGTATTTAAATAGCCTAGAGCAGTGGTTCTCAACTGGTGGGTCGGGACCCAGAGGTGGGTCGCTGAGCTATTTTCAGTGGGTCGCGAAAGTGTGCCAGGAAAAAACGCTTCACAGACTTTTTTAACACAAAAAACAACACTGGTTTTGTTCAGTTTATTGCTTCGGTCACATTATTTGTACCGACTGAGGTCCAAGCTGCACAATTTTTCAGTAAATAAATCTGACTGGTTGAAAAATATCAAAAATTTGGGTTGCAATTTTTCAGAGGAGTTGACATGGGTCCTGAGGCTAGACGAGTAGAGAACCACTGCCCTAGAGCATATTTAGTCTATTTTACATGTTTTCAAACCCTACAACAACAGCATGACAGCCACAGACAGCATTATAAAGAAAGATAGAGGAAAAAACTATCCTACAACTTTTTTTTCAGAGTCCATTAATAATTTTGTTATTTTTAATGGGTTACTTAATCATACCTACACCTGTCATATGAAGGGGGTTCGGATGAGTATTATTATGACGCTATTATTGTAAATCAAAATAAACTATATAATATTGCATTCATAGGCATCAATAAAAAAAACAAGTTACTAAAGCTATTGTAGCTATTGCCTCACTTTGGTCCGTTTTATCACAGACAATAGTATGCATGCATTTGTGTGTGTGTGGGTCCTCCACCTGGTTTCAATGACAACAGCTCCTGGTGGTTTGGTCAGCTGAGTGGTCATGGTGTAGAGGGTCTCTGGAGACTCTGAGCGAATTATCTGCAACCTACCAAAAAAAAAACAGGACAACATATTCTAGGTAAGACATTGTTTACCTCTTATTAGTTATGCCTGAGTCATCGTAAGAAACTTAAACTTCAAAATGCAAGGACAGTTAACTCCAATACTGGGTATGCCTCTGGAGTTAATTGAAGTATTAGTATTAAATAAACAACTTTTAGCAGAACACTGCCATTTATACTTTCCTAAACATGGTGGCTCCAATTATTTTAAAAAATTAAATTAAAATCTTTGACTTTACATTGTTTTATTAGCAGTCCATGGTGCTTCTTGCATCTCTAGTAACTTTCTGTCTCTTCTGCATAAGTGCATACAGACAATGTGTTCTGCAGTTCAGTTTGGGATAGATAAAAGCAGTACCCTGTCCCCTGAGGAGAAGGAAAATCTGGTGGTGCCAAAGGACAGGGTGGAGGGCAGGCCTCAGCAACCTCATCTTTATATTCAACCTCCTCATATTCTCCTTCTTCCTCATCCTCCTCCTCCATGTCATCACTGTCACTCTTCATTGAACCATAGCTGGAGGAAGGCCTCTTCCACTTCTTCTTCTCCTCCTCATCATCCTCCTTATCATCCTCCTTATCATCCTCCTGCCTAAAGAAGCTGTGAGAAAGAATAATATAGGAGTTTGCTTACTAAGCATGAGTTGCAATATTTAATTATACTGTCTTTAAAAATTTCAAAGACTGACCAAGTAAAGGTCGATTAATACTTGACACAGTCAATACAACGTTAGGTATTTAACAACAAAAAGTCATGTAATTCAGTAAATGTTTTAACGTTAATCAAGAAAGTACGGAAGCTTTGCTTGTCAAAAACTATGTAAACCGCCTGACAGATATGATGACAGTCTAACTCATATCTGTTGACAAATACACCCACCTTTGCACTTCAGTGTCCGGGTCCATACTCTGAATTCAAAAGTGTAACACTCCGCAGCTTTAAAGCTGATTTGTGTCGACTCAAATATAAACTATCGCAGAAAGTGTACAGCTAAAACATTGAATCCAGTTGCTCACGTTATTCGAGCTAAATAAAGCTAACATTAACATCCACTTCTGATACAAAATAATGGGTTAATAATTACATGATCGAATTGGAAAATTAAACACTTCATAGAAAAGTATCAATATACGAAGTGTCAAACTCTTATCTGCCTCGATTAGACAAGATTACTTCAAACTTTCGGTTTCGAGCGGCTTTCTTGTTCCGCAGACAGCGAGACAACTTCCGGATACACACCTTCAAAATAAAACTATATCTACAAAACACTAAGCTATGAAAATAGCGAAACATACACAGCTTTCCCACCATATCAATCGACATTGAATGTATAAATTAAGTAGGAAAAAAAAAGAAGGTGTGTACTTCTTATCTTTCAAAATCTATGAAGGAAAAAATACGAGCCTGTTTTGTCTTATATGTGCAACATGAGCGCTTAGATCCTAAAATCTTTACAGCCTTTTACAATTGTGTAGTTTTGTCGAACAGCCTTCTTTCAGCAATCTCCACGGAGTTGACAGTTCACCCATAGACTGTAAATATTACAGTAGTAATGTATGTTGTCAGTAGTACAAATTTGTATTGTGCACCACACTGTAAAATAACCTTAGATTTAAATACACATAATAGTTATGAAATTTTCTTGCCCATCATTTTTAATTAAAAAAAATATAAACCCCAATCTATAGTCATTGTTGTCGTTTTCATGTATGAAGTAACTCTTTTTCTTGACATCCGACAAATTTATTTTCATAAGCGCAGATGAACGTCACTGCCGGCTCGCCAGAGAGACAAAACAAGCCCTGAGAGTGTTTCAGCGGTAGATTAGAAAACACTGGAAACCGTGAGATTAAACACGATTGCGAAGCTTTTTGTACTTCAAACTATTAAAAACACAATTTAGTATCGGGTTTTCATTTACAAAGGACACCGGAGGGTAAGAGCTCTGTGTGTTTGGACTGAAACTAGAGAGGATTAAAGTGGTAAATTGTGGGACCGCTGTTATGTTCCTGCTTTAAAGCAGAAGAGAAGTCTGAACAGATTCTTCACACATTCACTCACTAACGTATTAACAACGTTAAAACTGTCACGTCACATAAATATGTTGGTGAAAATGTCTCTAAATGAAGGAACACTACACCAAATCCTCTTACTGAAAAATAAATGTCAAAATAAAAAGTTCTCTAGCTCGATATAACACCTCGTCTCGCCCCACTCATCATTATTTACACTCACGTATGAATACAAAATGTTTTAATATCATCCAGGGGACTTTACATGTGTTATTCTTTACTAAATCAGCTGATAACTCAGAGTTTGTCCTCTTTTCTCTAAAATAAACGTTTATAACATCTCCATTACAGTTATGAACACTGTTAGAAACTATTACAAATACATATTTAAAAATAAGGATCCATCTCAGGTAACACGGTTAATAATTACTCATCAGGTGTTTAAAGTCAGTTTCCTCTGATGACTCGTTAGAGCAGTTTGACAGAGAGATTGAACAGACACTCAGGTACATGGTTAATTTTATTCCGTTATGATGCCGATCTCTGTTCAGAAATGTCATGTTTTAAATGTTTACATCACTGGTCATCAGATTTAGGTTCATACTTGCAGTTTAAAATTACGGTTTTCATTTTTTAAGACTTTAAATCGGTAGACATTCATTCAGAGGGAATGATTTCACCCGGAAAGGGGCGGGGCCGGCATCGTTTGGGCAAAGTACCCGGATGGGTTGCTCTCATGAATAACTGAAGACGCATTTAACCAACCTTCATCAAAAATCGAGCGCTGATTACCTTTAAAATAGAAAAATGTTGACATTATGCAGATGTTCAACTACCGTTTTAAAAACACACATACAAATCTTATGAAGTCCATAAAAAACCATAAAAATAAATGAATCATGTTTTGTTTATTTAAATATCACACGTGGCAATTTTTGTATTTGTTAGTTTAAGGAGAATGAGCTTGCTCAATTAGAAAACAATTTTTGTAAGATCGTCTCTGCTTATATGCGTTCAATAGATTTGCTCTGAACAACCCACTAATGATTCAGAGGAGACTCTGCTTTTACCCGGCTCCCAACTATAACCATGAGTACCATGAACATTTGATTTATAGAGCTAATTATGGAATTATCCGTGGGGCTATGTTCAGTTCAAAGGCACAATGCGTCATTGAAATCTTTTTATTGACAAACATGTAAATATAATACAGAGAAGAAAAAAAAAAAAAACAGATTAAAACAAGATTTAAAAACTCCAGATATACAATAAAATGAAAAAGCGATTGTGATTGTTAAAAATTGATACAACGTAGAACCTTAAAAGATCACCACTCCAGTTTAGAAACCAGTCCTCACACCTTCATCCTGCTCATCATCTGTGGAGAAAAAAAAAAATGGAATAAACATAAGATCTCAAAAATAGTAAGAAGAAAACCAATTACTAAAACCTTTAATTAAAGCTGAAACCAAGTGCTGCCAGTGTGTAGTGTTGGTACATACAGAGACATGTGGACACCCTTTATGTGATAATAAAGAAATGAACACACCATTAGTAGTTATGACATAAAGTTGTGACCGGTAAAGCAGCCAGTGGAAAGACACAACAACCCAAAAGCTAAATTTAAAATAAATGGACTGAATAATATTGACCTTTTAAGACTTCCTGTAAAATTTTCTTCATTTATAGTCACATGCTTCTGGAAAAAAAACAGCATCCAAATTCAGCAGTTACTGAGATGTTATGAAGCAACATCTTTCAAGCACTTCCTCTTGCCTATTGTGCAGTATTTCTACTTTATCTAACTTAGTTCAACAATTAAAGGCTTTATATGCGATTTTTCACACTTAAATGTAATAGAAATCAAGTATATCCTCTGAAAATAACTGTGAGTCATGACTGTCTACAATGGGTGTAACACCCGAGTCCCACTCTCTGTGATGTTTTCCGAGTCATATTTTCAGTTTGTTGACATCGCCGGGACGGCGGCTGACTCCTCCCCTCGTGAATAAAAGTTGTTTAATTGAGGGACTAGAGAAAAGAAGAATAACATACTGTACTCACTGCTTAACTACGTTTCTAGATCACGCTCATTTCGGGTAAATTTACATGCAGTGTGAAGACACAAGCATAATAAAGATCACTAGCATTAGGCATATAAAGCCTTTAACATTGATCAAGGGAATTTTATCATTTAATTAAGTGTGTATTTCTGTTAAAATACAATTTTTGAGATTATGACAAGGCTCAGCTGTATAGTATACTGTAGTTGTCTTCAGTGAAGGCACAAACACACATAAAGCCATATTTTCACACAAAAAGTTGAACAATTTAGGCTATTATCATATCTTGCATGGTGGAAAACCACATGGAAGACAGGCTCTCCTTTCTCTTTAACATTTTAAATCTGTAATAGGGTGACATGTAAGTGAACTACATAATCTCCATAATCTGCTGCTGTTAGGTTATCAGTTGACAGAGATTCTCCATCAGACCTGCTGCTACTACACAACAAGGAGTATGGTTACATGTGCATATGACGTGCTGAAGGAGAAAACTCCACAGCCGACCTTAACATGATTATTTGTGTCTTTTAATTTCCTGAATGGATTTTTCTGTGTGTGTCTCGTACCTTGCGAGCACTTGAAGTCAGCCCAGGGGACTTCGCAGTGGAGCTGGTTGCTCGTGGAGACTTTCTCTGTCCTTTAGTTGCCACCTGGGGTGACTTGAAGCTGCCTAGTCTGCCGGCCCCTCCGACCCTAGCACGAGGATTTCCTGATGGTTTGTTCTCCTGGCTCTTACGAGAGGATGTTTGAGCAGGAGACTTTTTAGAGCTTTTGCCTGGAGATTTTCGAGTGGAGCCACGCAGTTTGTTCAGCCCTTTCTTCAGGTAGTTGCTGTTTTTAGGGGTGTTTTCGATAGAGAACATCATAGACTGTCTCCGGTCAGCCTGTTGAAGTGTCAGAAAAACAAAAATAACACATGCTGTAAGGGTTACATGACAAAATGAAGATAACTATTTTGACTCTGACTCCTTTTTTATTTCACTCACGGGACTTAGAGCAGGGCGAAGCTGAGCGCTGGACGACCCATTGATCACGTTCTTGTTTTTGGGAGTTAGAGGACGGGGGAAGCAGCTGGCCTTCACCTTTTTCTGTGTTAAGACAGGGAAAGGGAAAGGCATTTCACATTTCAGGAAAAGAAAGGCAAACAGAGTGAGAAATAAACATGTCAATGTATCTTCCCCCCCAAAAAAACAACAACCTTAAAACCATTTTACAACATTTCTAATGTCCAATGACTGGAAAACGAGCATGTTTATGCTCTGATCTTGAGAGAATTACAGAGACAAGCAAAGATATTATGACAAAGATACACTGTACAGTAACAATAGGTTTTGTTAAACAGTAAGTCTTGAGGACTAAAGTTCAAACATTTGAAGGAAAAGTGTAAAGATTAAAAGCTTTATATGCGATTTTTTGATCCAGCAGATGTCGCCTTTGAGCACCAGCATGAAACCAAAACAACTTGTGCTGCATTGTTGTGTTAGCATGCTAATGCTAGCTATCTTTATTCTGCTCGTATCTTCACACTGCATGTAAATTTACCCAAAATGAGCGTGATCTAGAAATACTTACGTGACATTCAATTAAGCAGTGAGTACAATATATTATTGTTCTTTTCTCTAGTCCCTCAATTAAACAACTTTTATACACGAGGGGAGGAGTCTGCCGGCCGTCCCGATGATGTAAACAAACTGAAGATAGGACTCAGAAAACTCTGAAAGCGTCACAGACAGTGGGACTCGGGTGTTACACACATTGTAGACAGTCATTACTCAGAGTTATTTTCAGAGGATATACTTGATTTCTATTGCGTTTAAGTGTGAAAAATCGCATATAAAGCCTTTAAATACATTGTTAAAAGCTAATATAGAAGATAATATGAGATATACTGTATTCACTGTGGCTCAGACAATAACACAGAATGTATCATGTGTCCAATACATGCTAATGCAAACCAACCTCTGGTGACATCTGATGAACAGACAGAGTAGATGCAGACCGCTTCGAGCCGTTCGGGCTTCTCAGCTGAGAGGAGCTGACAGTTCTAGATGGCAGTTGTCCTGGCATCAAAGACAGACGGTGTGAGCGAGTATTGGCTGCTGCTGCCGAGTGTCCTAACATGAGCGAATGCCGATGGGAGGTGAGAGAGTCTTGCAGCTGGCCAGGCATCATGGATGCCCGACGGATTTGTGTCAGACGGGTCGCCCATACGGAGTTCTTCATCTGTGAAACGGTAAGGACCGATTGCCCGCCTAGAGGAATAGACAAGGAGGAAACTCATTAAACCAAGAGGAAAATATGAAGAGAAAAAAATCTGAATAATTTAAAACTCAAAACATAAAACATATTTTAAACTGCTTTTAAATGTTTCCCAACTGGCAACATTTTCGTGAGTTAGACATTGAAGCTAAATAGCTCCGGATTGTTGGACCACCACTTCTCTACTAGTGGTATATTGTGTTCATTGTTAATAACAGGAAAGTCAATTTATCAAACTGCTCCTCCTCCATAGCTCCTTTGTCCAAGGCGTCCCCAGGGTTCGGTACTTGCTCCCCCTTGTAACATTATCCGCTAGCATGGTCTCCATTTCCACTGTTATGCAGATGACATCCAGCTTTAATCATCTCCACTAATTCAATCACCATTTAAACCTGCTCTACCTGACAAACTGCCTCAATGAATAAAAACATGGATGCACATCAACTTCCTCTCTCTACTATGCAAAATTGGACATAATAATCATCGGCCCAAATCCTCACCAATTCCATTCACAACAGACAACTCCACTCTCTCCTCCCCTCATATCCGCAATCTTGGAGTCATCTTTGACAGCCAGCTCTCCTTTGACCCCACGTCACCCAGCTCACAAGAACCGCCTTCTTCTCACCTCAAAAACATAGCTCGCCTCCGTCACTACTATCATTTTCTGCTGCTGAAACACTAATCCATGCATTCACACATCAGACTCGTATTGCAATAGCATCCTTTTCGGCACATCATCCAAAGTCCTTAATAAACTTCAATACATCCAAAACTCTTCAAAATCCTTCTCCTCACACATAAAGCCCTTAACCACCAGGCCCCCTCCTACCTCACGGCTCTCCTTCACCCTCACACTCCTGCACAGCCTTAGTTCTTCAAAAGCCAACCTGCTATCTCCCCTCTTAGAACAAAGCATCGAACCTGGGGGGACAGAGCCTTCTCCATAGCTGCCCCCTCCGTCTGGAACTCACTCCCTACACACATTCAACACTGCACCGACCCTCCTACTTTCAAATCACTTATCAAAACTCACCTCTTTAAACAAGCTTTTAATGCATGATTGTGATGTATTTTCTGTAGTTTTACCTTTATTGTTTTTTTCTTTATAATTTGTGTGGAATGTTGCAATGTGTTAGTCTGTCCTTACTGTGCTGTTCTTTCTGTTTTTGTACTATTGTACAGTGTCTTTGAGTTTTGAAAAGCGCTTATAAATAAAATGTTTTATTATTATTATTCTTAGTCACCAATTTGGGGATGGTGCACCAAAGTTAATTCTCAGATATTCGCCTTTAAGAGTGGTCATTATGATTAATCCTTGTCTGGAGCTATAGCCATCCCCATGTATTAAAAGTTTCAAATTTAGTATCATTCTGACTGCCAATTAAGAAAATGTGTGTAAATGCAACTTTATGCCTGCAGTGTGTGCTTTTTTAAGCTTCTCCTCCACTTACATCAAACTCCAGAGGTAGCTGCTCTTTAGATGAGGGAGCAGGCTTTGTTCCTTGCCTGAAGCTCAGCGAGCCTCATCAATCATCAGGTCCACCATCTGGTTCGTTCTCTGCCCCCACACAGAATGTGCCTGTTGCTGAAGACAGTCAAATAAAAATAAAATAAGCAAGAAGTTAAACACAGACCCTTTGAAATATAATAAGTTGCTGACACTGTATAGACAAATTTCCCATTGGGACAATAAAGTTAATCTTATAACCTATCTGGGATCCTTTACAATACATACACTTTTAGATAGGGCCCCCTTGAAAACCCAGCATTTAGTCAAGACATTCAAGAACTGAATCTTAGTGGAATTGCTGAGCTTTTCTCTGCACCAATAAAATATTTAGATGCACATGCTGTTGACCGAACGGCAAGACTTGGGTTTGAATTCAAACCCAAGTCTTGCTTTTTCAGTTTTTTGTTTTTTTTTATTGAGAAAAAGATAATGGAAATAGAGAATGCGGGAATATTCCATGGGCCAATAATACATTTTTCTCAAAGAAGAAAAATCCTGATATCTGCCTTTTGTGGTTTTCAGGTGTACTTGTAGACCAACGAATTGAAGGAGAAAATATTCAGCTAACTCATAAATAGTAAAAAAAAATAATTGTCAGTTGCAGCCCTGCTTCTATGTTACAAACCATACCATGTGTGTCCACTTACACTGTGAGTGAATTGTGCTCCTTCTGTACCCTGGAAGACCAATGAGCTGGTCGCTAGCTGCGCCAGTCATTTTGGCAGGAGTTTCAAACAGCTCTGTAGACACAGGTCGGGCAGAGTGGGCACCGGAGAGGTTTGGCTGGGAGCGTGCTGAAGCCAGACTGTAGAAAGTCTCATCACAGTCACCACCGCCGCCCGGAGTTTTCTACAATTCAAGAGTTCAAACATTTGAATGATTTTTCAAACTACTGCCATGTAATGAGAAGAAGTGCTTGCAACAACCAGTAAAGTGTAACTTGTTTTAAACTAGAAAGATAATGTCCTCATCTATTACACCAAATATGAATGACAAGAAAGAGACAGCTCTGATATCCCAAATAAAGCGCATTCAACACTGTGCATTTTTGTGAAATGGCAAAACAGCAATTAGAGTGCAAGTGAGTTTCCTCCACTTTGTCAGGGTGATGTTAATAACCTGCGTGGTCCTGCGTCGTTTGACGATGAAGTTGGGTTTTTACAGGACGAATCAAATTCCATTCTGTGTTCTGTACCAGTCCTATGGGACGAAAAATACAATACAATATACTAGAATAAAATTCAAGATAACAGAATACGCAAGGAAGAAAGCAATTTAAAGCTTTAAAGAACCCTCTTCTTCTACACCCTCCGCTTTAAAATGTAATGTATGAAACACCAAGTCTGCCACAACAGTGGGACATACCTGTTGATCTGCTTGTTGTTTATTGGTGTGAAGTACAGGGTTTCTAGTGACTCAGCCTGCAGGCCTTGACGTTTGGATGCCAAGCGCTCCGAACTGCGAACAAGCGGTGTGCTTGATTCACCAGGTGCAGACAGTTTCCTGCAGAGTTAAGAAACAAGTGAAAGTATTAGATTACAATCACATTTTCCTACTTTGCAACTCACATTGTTTCCTTTACTTTTCTAAAGATTTATTTTGTTTGAGGAACAGGCAAAAACAGCCATATTTAGGAATGTCATTAAATCAATGCAACCTCCTTTGCTCGGTCGAGATTAATTTTAGTTATGTAGATTTATATCAAACTATTTCAATATCAACAAAAGGATTACGTTGTAAATTTATAGAGAACTGGAACAATAATAAAAAAAACTTTGGCAGACGGATTTAACGTCAGATTTGTCTTTATACACTGCCCTCAATATCCAAGGTTTCTTGATGACATAGCAAGATTGTCACAGCCTTAAAGAAAGAGAAACATTAGATGTTTTTTTACCTTGTGGTGTTCAGGGAGTCCTCCAGAGAGCTCTGGTCCAGGCTGTCAGAGCTCATGACCCTCCTCACTTCTGCTCTAGTATGAACACTTGAGTGTCCACTGGGAATCTCCAAGTAACAGGCCTCTGTTGCACTTCTTTCAATTCCATGAATCTTATTTTGTGCTCGCAGGTTACGGTCAGCAAAGGCCAGCTAAATGTATAAAGATACAGAGATACACTTCAACATGAAATGCAAGTTTTCTGTCGCTGTTCTTGGACTTAAATGTCATTTTTCTTTACTAAGTGTTCCAGTTGTGTGTTCATGCCCTCTATATTCAGTTATAATGTTTCTATAAACAATACTAACCTGTGCCTCCAAACTGGCCACTGTGCTACTCAGTTTCTTCTCATTGTTTTGGACCTTCTCCAGATCCAGTTGAAGTATCTTGTTCTCCATGGTAACGCCTTTGACTTCCCGCTCTTTAACCTCCAAGGAGTTCTTGAGTTCGGCCACCTGATCTTGGCTTTCCTGCAGAAGCTGCTTCTTGCTATTGTAGAAACTCACTGCCTTCTCCATCTGTGGCATCATCAGCATAAAACACATTTTAGTATCAAGCAATGAGTACTCTTGTGAGATGGTCTGATAATGCAATCAAGTATGCAAAGGAAAAGTTTTTCCAATATCTAAATGATATGTTCAACAATACAAGTAGTGAAACTGAATTGTGTTTGTGGACACACTAACCTGTGCTTTGTAGTGTTCGGCAGCCTCTGTTTTAGCCGAGAGCTGTTCCTGCAGGTCACGCCTTTGCGTCTCAGCTTCATCAGCTTTTTCTCTCTCTTTCAATAATTTGTCTTTTTCCAATTTCAATAATACCAGCTCCTTCTGTAGCGCAGATTCCAGTTTACGAGAAGCTAGGTTCTCCCGCTCCGTAGCTTGCATGTTTTGAGACAGTCTCTCTTTTTCAACCACTGTGGCTTCAAGTTGTGTCTCAAGAACTTTCCGGCCCATTTCAGCCTGGAGTATCCGGGACATGAGTGCTTCTTTTTCCTGAACAAGAGCCTCTTTTTCCTTTAAAGTTTCAACCTGTAGCTCCTGTGCAGCGTTGGTCTCTGTTTCTACTGAGACAAGCTGTTTCTGGAGGACTTCTATTTGCCGAGAAGCTTCCTGTTGAGTTTCGTGTAACATCTGTTCTTTGGCCAGAAGTTTTTGAGTAATCGTTTCCAAGTCCCCTTTTAGATCCTGGATCTCGTGTTGCAGAAAATCTGTCTGTCTGGAGCTCTCCCCTTTAATCTCAGCCATCTGTTTCTCATTAGCTTTAGATTCCTCTTTTGTTTTTTGAACCAAGTTAGCTTGGGCAGCAACCTCTTCCCTGAGAGTGACCAGATTTTGGTCTTTATCCGATAGAAGCGTGTTGGCAGCAGACAGCTCTGTCTCGAGGATCTGAAGCTTCTCCTCAGCCCTGAGAAGAAGGCTCTCTTTCTCACTCTGTGATTCTCTTAGTTTGTGAATCTCTTCTTCACGTGAATTCATCTGTTCCTGCAGAATCTCCACTTGTTTGACTTTCTCCTGCAGACCTTGGAGGGCCTCCTTCTGTTGAGTATTTTCAAGTTGTTGTCGAGCCAACAGATCTTCCTTGGATCGTATATCCTCATTGGTCTTCTTCAATGAGGAGCCAAGAGTCTCCAGCTGCATCTTTAAAGTTAAGATCTCTTGGTGTGACAAATCTGACTGTTCTGAACTCTCAGTCTTCAGCAGCATCATCTGTTCCTCCTTAGATTGTACCTCCTCTTTTATCTTCCTAGCCTTTTCTTCAGAAGCCAAGAGAAGTTCCTTGTGACGAGCAATCTCTTCTTCCTTTTTGGAAAGCACAGTTAACTGAGTCTCCACCTGCTCCTCAGCCTTTGAGAGAGACTCACCCATATCAGCTAGTTGGTTTGTAAGACATTCCATCTCTTGCTTTAGCATGTCTGAATGTTTGGAGCCCTCTTGTTTTATTGTAGTCAGCTGTTCATCTTTAGTCCGGATCTGCTCACTCAGTCCTCGTATCTCCTCTTCACAGGTTTTCACCATGTTTTGAAATTTACAACTTGCATCTGAAATCTCCATTTCTTTCTGAATGAGCAGGTGTTCTTTGGCATGCAGCTGCTCCATTGAAGTTTTCAGAGATTCAGTCAAACTTTGAACTTGGACCTGGAGAGTTTGTATTTCATCCTGTAGTTCCTGAGACTCCTTGCAAGTTTGTGTCTTTAGGATCTCTACCTCAGCCTTTTTAGTTTGCATTTCCTCCCTCAGCTGATTAACCTCCCCCTCAAGGAGGGAAATGTGCTTTCTGAGTGCTTCAATCTGCAAAGTGCTCTCCTGTTCCTGCTTGGCCATCATGTCTTCTTTGGCTTGAACCTGGTCCTTGGCTAGCTCAAGAGAAGTGGTCACAGTTTTTATTTGTTGACTCAGATTTTCAATCTCCTGCTGTAGCCCTTCAGAGTGTGACGAGGACTCAGTCTTCAGCAGAATTCGCTGTTCCTCCTTAGCAAGAATCTCCGCATTTAGCCTCTTCACTTCATCTTGAGATGCCACCATCTGAGTCTGAAGTGCCTCCATTGCTTGGGTGCTCTGTAGTTGTTGTTCAGCAAACAGATTTTCCTTGGATTGCAAGTTTCCCTCAGCTTCCGCTAAAGTGGAACAAAGATTTTCAACCTGTTTCTTTAAATCTTGGATCCCTTGATTTAGTAGCTCCTTCTGCTCTGAGCTCTCAGTCTCCAGCAGTGTCATCTGTTCCTCTTTTGCTTGGATCTCCAGATTCATTTTCCTCACCTCTTCTTCAGAAGCTGACAGACGCTGCATCTGATGAGCATTCTCTTCTTCCTGTTTGGAAAGCACAGCTACCTGGGTGTGAACCTGCTCCTCGGCCTTCATGAGAGACTCGCCCATATCGGCAAGTTGTTTTGTGAGACATTTGATCTCTTCTTGTAGCTTGTCAGATTGTTTGGAGCCCTCTTGTTTTAAGGTGGTCAGCTGGTCATCTTTAGTCTGGATCTGCTCCCTAAGCCCTCTTATGTCCTCTTCACAGGTTTTCATCATGTTCTGAAATGTATCCTTTTCCTGAGAAATCTCTGTCTCTTTCTGAGACAACAGGTCTCCTTTAGCCTGTAACTGCTCCATTGTAGTTTTCTGAGATTCATTCAAACTTTGAACTTGGTCCCTGAGAGTTTGTATTACATTCTGTAGCCCTTCTGAGTGTGAGGAGGACTCTGTCTGTTGCAGAATTAACTTCTCCTCCTTTGCATGGATGTCTGCCGTTAGCCTCTTCACCTCATCTTGAGATGCTTTCATCTGCATCTGGAGTGTCTCAATATCCTGGGTGCGCTGCAGTTGCTGTTCAGCAAACAGATTTTCCTTTGATTGCAAATTCTCCTCGGCTTTTGTTAGTGATGAACTAAGAGTCTCAAATTCTTTTTTCAAATCTTGGATCTCTTGATGTAGTTCTTCTGACTGTTCGGAACTTTGTTTATTCAATGTGTTCATCTGTTCCTCTTTAGTCCTGATCTCCTCCTTCATGTTCTCTATCCTCTCTTCTGAAGCAGACAATTGTTGCTTCAGGAGCTCTGCCTGATGTGCACTTTCCTCCTCCTGCTTATTTAGCAAAAGCTCCTGAGCCTGAACTTGTACCTCAGCCTTTCTGAGAGACTCATTCAGACTTTCTAGTTGGCCTTTTAGACCTATTATCTCTTGCTCCAGCAATTCAGACTGCCGAGAGCTGTCATTCCTCAGAACAACAAGCTGATCATTTTTTACCTGAATCTCTTGGCTTAACCTCTGAACCTCCTCTTCACAGGTGACAATCTGTTTTTGGAGTCCCTCTCTTTGTTGGATATTTTCTTCTTGGGTTTTAGTCAGGAGGTTTTGCTTTAGTTGGATTTCCTGCTCAGCCAGTTTGAGAGTTGAGTCGAGTTCTTCCATTTTGGCTGTCAAAATCTGTATTTTATTATTAAGGATTTCTTGCTCAGAAGACTTTTCCAAAAGTAATTCAGCAAGCTTTTCCTCTTTGGCTTGAATTTCATTTTTAGATGTTTTGGTTTCATCTGTAAGAATGTCAATTTCTTCCCTAAGACCAGTAATATGTTGCTCTTTATCAGCCAAGAGAGAACTTGCAGCAGATAACTTTGTCTCAAGATCTTTAACTCTTTCCTCAGTCTGTTGAAGAAGGTCTTCCTTCTCTTTCTTAATTTCCTTTAGTTTTTCAACATCTTGTTCACAAGCAGTTATTTGCTCCTGCAGTCTTGAAATCTGTTCAATGTTCTGCTGCTCAGCTTGCTGCAGCTGAAGCTTTAGATCCTGGATCTCTTCCTGCAGGACGGCTCTCTGTTCTGTGATCTGCTTTTGCAAACGATCAAGAATTTCATCTTTTGCTTCAAGCATTTCTTCTGTTTCGGCCTTCTGCTGCTTGAGGAGATCCTTCTGTTGAGAAATTTCTTGCTGATACTCTGAAAGCTGTTGTGCTTTGGCATGAACGTCCACCTCAGCCTTTTTCAGGGAGTCAACTGTGCTCTCCAACTCACTCCTCAAACTGTTTATTTCAGTCTCAAACTTTTCTCTCTGAGTGTTAAAGAAATACAAAAGGCCATTAGGAACTATTAAATCCAGAATATATATATATATATTTTTTTTAAATCAAGAAATGCTTGAACTCTAAAATTATTGTGAAATAAGTTTTCATAATTAAATCATCAGCTTTACATAGGATTGCGGACTTTACCTCGATCACTGGTCCCATGTTCTCTCCTACTTCTTCCTGGGTGGCCCTGTTTATTTCATCCTCCAAACAGGAAATCTTTCCATGGAGGATCTGGATCTGTTCTGTCAGAAGCTCCTGAATAAGGAGAATGATAGTACATTAAATACTCTTAATGCAGAATGAACACAAAGCTCATAAATGCAACTGCAAGTAGTTCTTGAGGCTGCAATCTTAACTGTGGTCTTTGTAATTGATTTACAAAGACCACAAACAGGTGCCAACACATTTTCTGATGTGAGGATATATCTACCTTTTGAGCTGTAACTTCATTGAGTTCAGACTCGAGGTGAATTTCTTTGCGTTGCCATTCCTCCTGAGTAAACGCTTGGGATTCTGACAGCCTGCCAACTTCTGCCTCATAGACAGCCAGCTGTGAACACACTGCTCTCATCTGTGTGAAAAACAGAAAGCCTCCCTCAAGATTATGTAAAAACAGTGTATTTGTATGACCTAGTTTCGGAAAAGCTTGCTGATAAAAAATGCTGTTTGTGTGTAATGGCATTACCTGGGAAGAGAGCACACCATTTTCCTCTGTCAGCTCATCCACTTTCCGCTCCATAAGAGCGGAGGTACTCTTGAAGTCTTTGTTTTGCTTCATCATCTCATTAAGACGCATCTGTAACCTAAGACAGGAAAAAGAACAGCAAAACAATTTTTTAATGACGTTGACTTAAAATTCCTTAAAGTTATGGTATGAAATTGTGTTATTTTCTCAAAAAGTTAGATTAATTCAATCAATAGCCATACATCCTATTTGTATACAGCCCATCTCACTTATAGCTCAATTAACAACAGAACAGTGTATTTTCTGAGCCATAAAAAAGTAGCATGTGGACGTCTAGCAGTAGAAGTAAATATAATTCTCAAACTAAAAATGAAGGGATCTCTTTGGAAGGAAATTGATTTAATATGTTTGCCATGCCTCAATAAATAGGCCTAATTTAAGAGTATAGAAAATGTTCTAACTCCCCACCCCTGTTGCTGGGTACTTACGTGTTGTTCTTGTCCTCAAACTCATTGATTTTATCCCTGATAGCTTGCTCCTGGTCACCTTGCTCTCCTTTGAGCTTATCCAGGCGGTACTGCAGCTGGTTAATCTGTGACTCTGAAAGAAATCAAGTGTGAGGCAAAGTTAATTCAAAGAAACACTTTTAAAACTGTAGTCTAAACGTTCCGTAGCTCTTGGTAGTATACTCAATATGTTTTTCTGACTTGTAAAAGAAACCACAAAACTTAGGCACCAAAAGTTTCCCCCATTACTAAAGAGGATTTTATATAAACACAACCACTAAAATGTTCTACCTCTCTGTGAGATGAGTGCAAGCTTGCTGGCCAGCTCCCTCTCCAAGCCATCCCTGTAGTCTCTCTCTTTGATCATCTGTCTTTGCACCTTCCTCAACTGAAACTTAGGTGTGTTCATGATATCCTGCAGAGGAGACTTGCTGTTGGGAAAAGATAAAGACATCCTTTAGACGTACATACATATACAGTATTGTTGAATAACTTGCATGGAGTGCATGTACGGTACTAGACAAAGTCATATAGTATATCAATGATATAAATCCTATAACGATAGCCATTAAAAGACTACAATCACATGTGTTTTCTATCATATCAGGCTGAAGGTCTTTTAAAGAAAACACATTTAGCTAATCATGCTGAAACCATCCCACAGATAAAAAAAATTATTATTGAATGTCCAAGTGACTTATCATGGATCACTAGCTACATTTTATTTCTAAGACTTTTGGTCATTAAAACAATAAGCTGACCTGAATTGTTGAAATGTGTATCTACATTGGTACCTGACTGAAGAAGAAGCCACAGTTTGCATGTCCACAAATGTTATTTTCTGTTTGCGGAAGAACATGGGGGACTCGTCATCTGACAGAGATGACACACTGGAGGTACAGGTAGACACGCTGGAGGTGGTTGCCGACTGCTCAAATATTTCACGGGACACGGGTAAATCTGAAATTCATAGAGACACACTTTTAGACTCAACAACTAAACCTCGTTACACGGAGTTGAATTCCTTGAGACACCACAGACTGTTACTTTGGCATATTATGAGTGGAAGGAACATTTTTTGCAACTGTGTGACTTACATCTCCTTGCCAAATAGGCATCAAGTCCATTGCTCAGATTAACACAGCCGTCGCTCTCCATCACAAAGGAAGCAGTTAGGTTTGCTATCTCTCGCTTTCAAATAAGCATACACATACGTTAGTACAGAATTAAATGGTAGCACAAGTCACGACACGATAAATAGAATTTGACGTGTGCACCAATAGAAGGTATAAAAATACACAGATCCCAGTTTACCTCCACATCACAGTCAAGCAAGTTCACAGTACAGCGGTCATTCATGATGTCATGGTACACCAGCAACAAAAGCACCTGGTGGCAACACAAAAAAACAAAAAAAAACAGTTAGAATGGGTCCTGTTTTTTTTTTTTTTTTTTGTAAACATAATTTTAAAATTTGTTATATACCTTTGCAATTTCAATTGTAAGGTTGACTCCATCTCTTATGCTGTCCCAAGACAATGAAGTGCCTTTGGTTCCACTAAATCTGCAATCCTCTTAAAACAGAAAACATATTTTAAAGAACATTACTGTGAGTCTCTGCTCTGTTCAACATCTGCCTAGAACAACAACTTTACATAAAAGTTTTTTTGTTGTTTTGTTTTTTTTACACCCTTGCATTATTATCTGGCATCTTTACAGCCACAACAGACCACACCCAACAAGTCATGAGAGGTGTGGCAAAGGTGCAACAGATTTGAAAATCAAAGGAAACAGTTCCTTCTGGTCTGGACATGTGCTGGCTTACAGCAAACACAATGCATTTTAAGAAATACAGAATTCAGTTTGCAGTCTGCACAGTTGTAAGTCTGGAGCCAGAGAACCCAATCTTTTAAAATAAAAGACTGAAAGTAACATGATGAAAAGATCCAGAACTATGCTACAATGTTGTGATCTTCAAATAGATGTAAAAATTTTAGACTTATGGCCACTATTATATTAATCATTAAGTCCATCTAACCTCCCACAATCACAATAAAAAATAAATACATGTATAAAGATGTTTTAAAGGGCCAGGAAACTTACTTTCAATAAAGTTTGCAATGAGTCGGAAGTTATCATCGATACAACTGCTGAAGCTGGTGCCAGATTCCTTTTTCCTGAGATAATGTCAAGATGAAACAAGAATAAACAGAGGTTCACAACAAGATTAGTATCTTTAAACATCAAAGAATCCGCCATTATGGTGAGCGAGGGTAGAAAAGAGCTAAAGTCATTGACCTTCACTTGTTTACACTGGCCACATATGAAAACATATCGCTCCTACTTACAGCATAAAGATGATTTTCAATAAGATAGTCCCATCTTGTAAGTCGTCAATGGTTAACTCTCGATCTGACAGTTTTATGTTGTTAACCTGAGAATAAAAATTGTGTGTGAAAAGATGGATAAAAAAAAGCCTTATTTTCAAATTTGTACAATAGATATATAATCAACTTACCCAACCGAGAAGAGCCTTTACGCCCAAATTAATCGTCATTTTGGCTGAGCCTTTCTCTCCAAAGGATTTCAACCTGGAAGCAGAAAAAAACAAGTCTGGAAAAAAATGCAGCTAATATTAAGAGGCCACAAATAGCAGGAATAAGTGAGTTATTAAAGTTTAACATAACCCTCCCTAATCCAACTCAACCGTAAGTAACACGTTTATGTAGTTTTAATGACGCAGTAACTGTGTAAACACTTTAACTGTAGCTTACATTAACTTAGCGAGCACGAACTTATTCGTAGACGTAAGTAAGACAAAAGACGCTTCTAGGCACTGACTCACCTTAAAATCTTTAAAAACTTAGTCCAGTTTTACTATGTCGTCTAAAACAGTTATTGGAAGAGGAAAAACAACTCCTTCGACAGCTTATATCACGCGTCTGCTACGAAAGAAACAGTCCCATGAGATGCCACTCAAAATTCAAAACGGTATATGAAGACTGAACCAGCCAATCCGTTTGCACATGTCGACGCATCTCAAAAAGGGCGAAGATGATTCGTTTAAAAACCGGAAGTGAGTTACTTTCCACAACGGGTGCGCTCGATTTTATTATCCACGAAGAGGTTAAAATATTTTTGAATTAAAATTAAATCTACGAAGAGGTTATAGGATAAAAAGTACTTAACGCATGCAAGTTTTTTTGTGTACTGTCAAACCCCGCCCTTCAGGATGTATTTCAGCATACGCCGGATTTTGACAAAAAAAAGCTTTTTCAGCAGGCAAGATACACATTTTCAAATCCACTTGTAAAATAAACTCTTGTTGTGGTTTCTGTTGCGGTCATTTCAGTATTAACCAAGAAAGCTATAACTTCACAAGAGCTGAACTACAAGTCCCATAAAGTACCGCTTGTTGCCACGGTAACTGAGTTGTTGTGTCTGCGACGAGTAAATATTTGGCGACGTACTTTTATCCTTCGCAGACTGTAAATATTAAAGGTTGCAGCTTGATGGTAAGTTTTCTTTTCTAAACAGGTTATCGGCCAAATTAGTCTGATTTTTTCGACCATGCCAAATAAATGTAGCCTAGTTGATAGTTGATAGTCTTTGCATAAAGCTTTGTGTTTTCAAGGCAGTTTGATTCAATCGCATTTATTGTTCATTCATCATTAGATAATTCACCATTATTATCGATTACAGGTGTTAATATGAATGAAGCCCCAGTGGATTTATCTTTCAAAAACATCATCTGTTTGGCAGGTATGCACTCTCTCTGTAATTGTCAGAAGTGTTGTTTTCAAACTGTATTGTGGGCTCATGTTTTTTTTTGTATGGGTGGGATATGTGTTGTGTTTGTGTGTTTGTATGTATGCTGGCTGCTGGAACACCTCAATTTCCCTGCTGGGATGAATAAAGTATATCTTATATTATCTTATCTTATCTTTCATTCGCTCCTTGTGGTAAAGTAGCTACATTTAAATTCATGCAAGTAATTTCTTACTGAATTGTCTGCATACTACAGGGCTCAGTATAGCCTACTGTAAATGATAATAACATGGGCCACTAGTCCCAACCTGGTGTACAGGACCCCCGTGAAGCTTTGTCTACTACGAATTAGATTTGCACATCCAATTATGATTACAGACTTAGCCAACCAGATAGTTTATACAAAAGTCTTTTGGTGAGACATAGTGAAGGCCTATTCTGTTGTGATTTTATCAATAAAACATATTTAAAATGTTTTTACAATTTTGATGGGAAAAATGTATTAATTCAGTCTTTCGCACCAAGGAAAAAAAGGTTTGGACCTACTGCCATAGGCACACCTTTATGAAGGCAATTTAGTGTGCAGTAGAAAAAATAGTTACAAAAGTGGAACCAATCAATGACAGCATAATTGCTTTGTATATTGCTTTATTTTAGACACATGGAAAGAGGAGCCATGCAGGGGTCTGCGACCTTCAAAGAGAAACTCTGAGATGAAGTATGAAAGCCGCTCACTGCGTCTCAATAACAACAACATCACTGAACTTCATGACCTCCAGATGACTGTCAGTCACTTCCTGGCTGAGCCATCACAGCTCACCTGGCTGGACCTTTCCTTTAACAAAATCTCACACATAGATCAAGTACGTTTCCTCTCGCCCTGGCTTATCAACTACTGTATCTGCGCTTCCTTTTATCCCTCAGTCACAGTGCTCCTCTCAATATGAGTGTGCCTATGTTCCAGGTTTTGTGCGACCTCAAGGAATTGCGTGTGTTGTATCTTCACGGCAACAGCATTTATATTCAGTCAGAGGTGGACCGGCTGGGGTTGCTCCCACATCTTCACACCCTCACGCTGCATGGAAATGTCATTGAGACCAACAAGGCATACAGGTGGAAACATACAAATTAAGTCGGAACACATGTTGTGTAATAAAAAACTTAACTTGAATTATGCTCCTCACCATGAACACTTTGCAGTAGCAAGTCGTAGCTGAGTACAGAACAGAAGCAAATGAACACAAATTCAGCATTTCACTGTCATACATTACTATGTTTAGAGTAAGAGGATTTGTACCACAAGAGTGAACCAACAGTTAGAGTGTGTAGGACGAATGCTTGGCAAGTATGTAGGTATAACACTGCAACAGGTGCTTAAACATAGAACAAGTTCATATTACATATCCTAGTCTGCTCAGCGACACTGCACACACAACAAAAGATACTAGTTACTCAGTCTATTCCAATGATTTTGTTTTCTCATGAACCAATGCAGTTTGTTAATTAAATATCTTTTTTTAGTATACATGTCTGTAAAGTACAGATAAATATATGGACCTTTGTTAAAGTATTCAGTTATAATTATATATGTTGACACACACAATTTATTATAAAGTATGTATTGCTCATGCATGAATATGTCTTGTATACATGTAGGACTCGTATCATTTCTGCTCTGCCTGGATTAAAGAGGATGGACTTCAGTGCAGTAACACAACAGGAGCGAGTGCTGGCAAAGATTTGGTGTCACAGCAACAACAGGCGCAGCCGCGGCAGAAAGGAGACTCTCCAGTGACAGCTGGGTGATCGCCATCATGGTGTGTTGGGAGGTTCAAAGTCACCCAAATGTCCTGTGCACCACATCTACTGCTGCTACTCTGTCTGTGCATCTGTGGGGGAATCATCAGTTTTACTGTGTAATATATTAGCCCTGTTCATCCGAAGTGGGACAATTTTATTTTTGGAATGAAAGAGGTAAACTGGTTGAAACTGCCATTAAGTTTTATAAATGATGCAAATGCCCCTAAAGGATCCTGATATAAATTGGCTCTGACATGCTGTAATTGATCCGTTTTTGTCAGAAATGCAAATTGTTATGGATCAAAGTATATAATTACAAAGATTCATACAAGCTAATTGAATCACTGACTGTGTATCATTGCTAAAGCAACTATTCTTCAGATAGACACATGCAGATTTGTTTTTAAAACACAACTGTTCAGTTGAAAATCTTTAATGAATTTATTAAACCAAAAAATAAACACAAAATCTTAAAACTTTTTGGTACTAGCCTAAGATATTACAAACATATTTTAGGTAGTAGAACACATGTGAGTAACCAACAAAACAGAAAAAAATGCCAAGAACCCATTGCAAAAAAGCTCAAATCAGAAGCGCAGTTGAAATAATCACAGCCTTGCAGATCATCCCTTCTTAGAGACTCAAGAGCGACTCACTGTGCTCCCTGCCCACGAGTAGTCACATGCTCTCCTCCAAAGAGCAAATATACATTTAAAAAACACAAATAAATTATCACAAAAAGGTCTCAGATCATTTTATCTGCGATGGTACATAGATTGTTAATGCTCTCCCACTCTGCTACAACGGTAAGTTTCTGATTATTATGGACAACTTGATCTTTTAACAAAATGAGATCTGAAAAGCTAACAAAGGCAAGCCTTTAAAAGTGTTCTTGAGTTTCATAAAAACTATTGTCATCACCACAAGTTCTTATCCAATCCTGAACATTGAAATCTTCTCAACTAAAAGAGGAACTTCATACAATCCATCATCAGTTTTTATATTCAATCAGAAAATTCTGTACAAAGGCATGAATATGCGATAATCCTCCCTGCCCCCTCCATACACACCTGCCCCCTTTATCTCTGTATGCTGCTATGTGAAGCTCTTTGATTTGATTCTAAGAGTCTGCCAACTCATTTTGTTAGTGCTAGAAAACTGCAAGGGGACATATTACTGTCTGTAAACAGGAGAAATCTCTGCACCCAGAAAGCTCCATTTCTCACCCCCCAGTGACATCAGCAGGATACAGTGCCCTCCTCCTCGTTTGTGTTTGCATCCTCACCTACCAGAAGACTCCACCCATTGACAGGTCTTTTATGATTTGGCCTCACATGGAATAACAAAAACCAACATGATCTGTTTCAGTTACTTTTCAAACATTATTACAGTGAAATGTAATCAAGTTCGGTTGGTTTACTGGTTGATGTTAATTGAGACATGTTTTTGGTGCATGAACACATCACAATAATGTAACTACCTTCTTATTTATGATGACATATTAAACTTAAAAGAAGACATCCTTTAGGCTGTTTTAGCTTCCTTTGTTATTGTAAGTTGAAACACTGAGGAATGGGCAGTGTCGCTTCAGGGAACAAATCAGAGTTACGGACAAAATTAAGTCCAAACTTGGGGTATTGTTGTAAGATTTTTTTCCTGGCATGTGGCTTCAATACACAACCATCAGACACACCCATGGAACTGTGTTAATTTCCAATGATCCAAGACAGAATGATTCCTCATACCTCTTATTCAAGCAGATTGTAACAAGAATTTACACACAAAGTCAATGCTTATTGCTCTGTGCTAAAAGTCCTGCAGTTTTGGATAACAATCTGGGGTGTGTAGCTAGCTCTGCTTGCCTAGAGTATACAGCCTAAAGGAAAATAATAAGACACTTAGACAGCCATAAAACTGTTGAAAATTAAGTAAGTATATCACCAAGAAGGATGAATGAACAATTTTCCACAGCTGGTTCAGACAAATATTGTTCTATACATTATACTGTATAAAAAGAGGCCTTGTTGTTGTATATATGCAAGCAGCCCCAATGGTTGCTTATGATGAGAATTAGTTGCTGACCCATTACAAATACACCATAGTACAGCCATAAGGCGCAGTCTAACATCATCTTTGTCTTTGTAGCATTTAGAGGCATAGCTAAAAAGCACGAAGACCAAGATGCTCGAATATGGGTGGGCTGGAGGGAGAGGATGCAGTAGAGACACAAATTGGCAGGATGGGAAAAACAGTATGCAGGCCAGAGTCACAAAATCAAGGAATGGCAAATTGGACCACCAGGTCTTCTTTTGCATCCACCTTGATTTGAGAGATTGCACTGTAAGCATACGCCGCTATCTTGGACACCTGCAAAGGAAGACAGACAAAAAACAGCATCACCAAAAGCACATTAGACACCCACTGAGATCTATTTTTAGCCAAAAATTGTGATTAACAATCCTCACACACTGATATGGTACTCAGCTAAACTTGTGGCAAACCACTTTGAAAAGAGTGACTCTTAAATGCTAAATGTAGCCAACAAGGAATGAACACATGGCAACACAAAGAATCTTCCGCCTGTGCTGGTGTCTCATTACCTGCTGAACATCTGAGTATGGCACCAGGTCACTTGCAAGCACTTGGTGGGGCTGGCTGGTGAGGGAGGGGAGAGTGAGGGCTTTCTTTTGGGGTAGACCGTTACTCAAAACAGCCAGCTTGGTACTGCAACGAAAAAGGAAAACATAAGCTAACTTGTGCTAAGTTAAGCTCATGGTCAAGTTTCACATTTTGTTCACAACATGTAACATTTTCTTTTAAATCTTCTGCAATGAGAACCTGATGTTTCTGCACCTTTATTCAGCTCAAACATACAATGGCTTCTGTGTCTGTAGTAATCTTATCTTGGTAGTTTTGCTAGATGTAGAAATCCCAACTTTACAAACAGCTCTTATCTTCTCAACCTCCATTTTAAGCCAACAACAACAACATGTCCAAAGTAGCCAGTACATGCACATCTGGCAAACTTTGAAACAATATACAAGTTACAAAAGAAATCTCCTTCCAACTGGTTGCAAGTTTATTGCACAAAGTTAATTTAAGTTAAAGATCTTATAAACTTTGAATTTTATGATTATATGGATCTATTTACTAACACACCCATGCTATCTTTACATGGTGACCTAAATGCATGACTCAGCTGGGTAAAGTTTACCATCTTTAGATAAGTGCAATATATTTTAGAGACCCCCATCCTAACCATACCCATATACACTGAAAATTAAACAGAATCTTGCAAAAAAAAAAAAAGAGCAACAGCCTTCCACAATAAATATTACACCACTGCTCCCCCTCATACCTGTATTGCCGAGCTTTGTCCATGTATTCATGCTGCTCCATCATGACAGAGTCAGCTGCTGAGACATCAATAATGTTCCTAACAGACGACAAAATAATACAAAAAATGAAGAACTGCTTTAACATCAGGGAAAATGTGCAGAATCCAGCTCGTCTATGAACACGTGATGAAGGTTCTTACTGTGCTGTCTTGGTGAGAATGGATGTAAGGAGAGCCTGTTCATCTGTCCGCGCTGAGGGGACACTGGTAGTGGTCCAGTCTGCCCCATTTGGGGGGTTTGCTGACTGGAGGTGGGATCAGCGGTTTGCGTTCCTCATGGTCCTACAACAGGAAAAAGTTGTCAATTCATGACAGCTCAACACATTTCAGTTATATTGTTTAATTTCTCTACAGCAAGAATGCTAACACAGGTTGTCACATAACTTTCAAACCTTTACCCACCAACTCACTCTCACCATATCGATAATAACAATCAGCTAAAACCAACATTAATCTGTAATCCAACACTAGTTTAATTGTTCCCAGTAAAATTGGACTTCTAAGCAAACCACTTTAAATAATCAGTGTCACACTTAGTCAAACCTTATACTTTAACTAGTTTATCCGATGCTTTGATAGTATGAAAAAGTACTAAAATACTTACATTATTTAAAAAAAACAAGTCTGATAATATAAACACATTACTAAATTATATTCAGTTAGTTTCACTGCATTCATTATCTTATTAGTAAGATTTAGTTCATACAAGGGAAATTATTCAGCATAAAAGAATATCTGCCTTATTTCCGTAAACTAAAAATAGCTCAGGATCTTGAGTGTCACATGACAAAAACACACAAAATCATGGTATCCAGAATACACATCACTTGTTCGGGCCTGTCTATGTCACAGATGTGTATTTGATTGTTTTGTTTTGTTGTTGAATATCGCAGTTTAACATTTGTTCTTCCAGGAGAGAATTTAACATTCACATAGTTGTTAATGAAGCGTGGACCACAAAAATAAAAAAAGTGTCCTCTGAAGAGTGAATGTTTGTTTCATCGCTCACAAGTCTCCACAGACATTGACCCCTGCTTTTTATCTCTTGTCGTCCTCACATGCATGATCTTACTTACTAAGCATTGTCCAGGGGTCCGGGCCTTTACATAAGGCTCAAACCAGCCAGCTAAAGCTACTTCTTTTAAGATGACACTAACTTCTTTAAAACCACCTCACTAGTAGGTTGTCCATCGTGACTTGTAAGCAGGTTATGTATGGAACAATGTCAGTAGATAAAGTCTTCCAGTATAGTTTGTTACTCAATAAGAAAATACACATTTATCAGGAGAGTTTCAGCTAGCTACCAGCTAACTACCTGCTCGGGGGTCTCGTTCTCGCTGCTGTAACAACAACCCATGACGGCGTCCGAGGGGCGACACTACACGACCCCAGCTTCCCCTGGTCTCCGTCAGTAACAAGTCTACGTTTATCTTCTCCCGAAACACACATAAACTTCTCTTCTTCCTTCTTCGTTTTCACTTCAGCTTCATCCAAAAGAAGGAAGCTACTGTCAACAGCAGCAACTCCTAGGACGAGCTATCACATGACAGCAGCTCTGGTGGTGAGGAAACAACACAGCGAGCACTTCCGGTATTTCAGAGGCTCCCGTGGCCTTTGTCACGTGACGGAGGAGTTTCAAAACCGGAGCTGTTTACAAAAAAAAACAAAAAACATGGATAAACTACATTAAGTGTGACACAAATAAACATTAAAAAATACTAGAATAAAGATTACATATTTTTGGATGGAAGCTTTTAAACGCTACGGCCATTTATTAATGTTACATTTGTTACACACGGACCATATGGGTATATTATTGATGCATTAACTTGCAAGTATTTTGATATGGGGCGTACAGAATTAAGTATTAAGTAAGTTAGTAAGTAATTAGTAAGCTACTTCCACACTTGTTTAGTATTTGCCTACAATAAACAAATTCCACACTTACGTTGTGGTATGTTGGTGGTAGTGTTATGAGATAGAGCAGGGATGGGCAACTTTGGTCACAGCAAGGGCCACATTCATTAAATTCCCACTGCCAGGGGGGCCAAATTGTAGGATACAAAAACGATTGCAGTCAATTATGTCTCAAATTTAACTCAACATATACAGTGATCAAATATTATCATGGACATATTTCTGGTTTTCATGATTTCATGGCAGATTTTGTCATGTTATTCTTCATGTTTCCAATTCATTGATGTGTAAAAATTGACCTGAGGGCCACGTTGATGGTTGATGGGGGGCCGCCAGTTGCCCATCCCTGAGACAGAGCTTACACACTGCACCGTACTTGATCAAAGTGTCAATTCTACAGAAAAATGCAGAGTTTCTCCCTGTAGGGTATATTCATAACGTGATAGTCTTGAGTAAAATCCAGTAGACAGCAGCAGATGCAGGATGGGGCATGTTCCCCCCTTGACACAGATGAAAGGGACACCCTGTGGCTGAGTAAAGATGACAGACACACACCCACAGCTTCTCTACAAACTGTAGTTACATTGTACCCTAAACCCCCGTTTCCTCCACACCTCTTTGTTTACACCTTCAGGCCGGTCAAGTCCGGGCACAAGTGTGGCAGCTCCGCAGACCTCACTTTGTTCTTGTTGCAGGAAAATGTTTCTTTCTGTGGTCAGCTTTATTTTGCTCTCTGGGGTTTCACATTCTTCTGAAACCCTGGCTCCGGAGCCGCAGTCTCTCGGGTTTAGTTCCTCGGTCCGCTCAGTGTGTAAACCCATTCCGAGCACTCTTTCTCTGTGCCACGGGATCGGCTACAGACAAATGCGGATCCCTAACTTGCTCGGCCACGATACCCTGAAGGAGGCCCAGCAGCAGTCGGCAGCCTGGCTGCCCCTCATCTCCAAGCTGTGCCACCGGGACACCAAGAAGTTCCTGTGCTCTCTGTTCGCCCGGTGTGTCTCCCGGAGCTCAGCGGGCCAGTCAGCCCCTGTAGGAGTCTGTGCGAGGCGGTGCGGGACGGCTGCGTGCCCGTGATGAGTGCGTTCGGGTTCCCCTGGCCAGAGATGTTTAACTGCAGCCGGTTCCCGCGCGGGACCGGCCTCTGTATCGCGGCAACCGGTGAGCACGAGGGGAGGACTCCCGAAGAGGTCAGGCACGAAGAGGCGTTGAAAGGTCAGTGGAGTGATTGAATGTTGTTGAGTTAACCTACCAGAGTGAAACAAGACGAGGCCTAGCCTATAGGAAAACTCTCAGCTTCACATACGTTTGAATTAAAAATTGTCGTACTTGAATTAGTTCTGACGATGACAGTCATACAAATATGTCACAATAACATTAATGTGCCAAATATTTCCATAGACTTAAAGATGTAGGCCATAGAGTCATAATAGTAAGTGGCTCTCATTGCGCATAGCCTAATGTAGGCTACATCCCTGTGTGATTTATTCTGTACATTTAAAAAAAATAATCAAACAAATATCAGCATGCTAATTATATCCTACTGGCCAATGTTAGTTTATCATAAGAATCAGGGCTTAGGCTATGTGGTAGGAAATGTCACTGTCACAAGTAAACTAAAAATCTTGATCACATAAGTATTTACCTAAATTTAAATGTATTCAGTTTTTGTTCATGTCAGGTGTTTCTGTTCAAATACAAATCATAGCTGATTTAAGCAAATTAAAAGCATGCATAAGTAGCCTATATGGCTCAAGGTAGAAATGCATAAAGCTTTTGTTATATTTTGTTTTGTTTAATAAAAAACTGTTAAAGTTTTTCCCAAGCTCTTAAGCTTGTTTTTTTGTAAAGCTGTAACATTTGGGTTTTCCTTCTGGAATTGTGTGAAGTGTAATTAGGTCCAATTCTATCTTATCTTTTAGTTGCTTGGCATGCTCTGATCATAAAAATTGCAACATTTGTAAGCATATATTCCCTCCCTCCAGGCAGTGTTATCTGTGATGCCTGCAGTCTGGCTGCAGAAGGAGAGACTGACATCCAGGAAAACTTCTGCAACAGTCCATATGGTGAGTAAAAAAAGTCATGTCGCCCAATAAAAAAAACAAAAAGTGACATTATGAAGTAGAGCACAGCAAAACACCCTCTGTTAATACTTGTAAAATAAATCTTTGTTCTACTAAACCAACCAAAGAACAGATAAGTGTGGAGATAGATGGTTGTTTTACAATGTGTCTGAAATCTCACCAATTAAAGTTCACTCCTCTGTTTGCCACAGCCTTCAAGATGCGTCTGGGCAGTGTGTCGACGGTGGGAGGAGACCGTCAGCTTGTGCCTATGGCCCGCAGCCGAATCCTAAGATGGGCAGGGGGAGGTGCAGAGAGGGCAGAAGGGATTGGGGGCGCAATGGCCCACAGCGCTTTGTGGCTCCAAGAAGGCGGCACCTGTGCTTGTCCTGGTTTAGACTCTGCAGAGATGAACACAAACAGAGGGCTGCAGGAAGACCAGATGGATAAGAGACCTGGAAAAGAAGAAGGAAAGCAGGGTAGTGGGGCCCCGGGCGGGTGGTACTTGGCGTTGGCTCAGGCTGAAGAGGGAAGACTGGTGTTGACTCGACTGGTGAGGTGGAGCAGAGGGGACAAAGAGCTGAAGAAGTTTATCAGAGCTCTTATTAAACAGCCTTGTAAAGTGCTGTAGACGGGGACTTAACAAACTGCATGCATGGCCATAAGCAGCTAATAAAAAAACAAGTGGAATACCACTGAGTAAACCATATGAATGCAGAAGATACATTTGAAAGGAACAGTTGTTAAAAGATCAGCTAATATACCAGCAAGTCTGCATAATGGCCACTTTCTTGAATCATCTTTATTCTTCTGTAAATCACACACAGGATGGAAGTAATGTTAAGGCATTATTAAAAAGTTACTACAGCATGTAAAGATTATTATTGAGTTTTTTTGTATTTTTGTGTACATTTGTCTATATAAAAGAGAACATGTTACCAATTAATCAAAGTGCTGAGTAGTTGTATTAAAAAATTGCAAGGATGGTGGCTTTTCTCATTACAAATATTCCATTAAAACATCATGTACAAGTTTCAGAGTCACTTTTGTTTGTTTTCTGTTATGTTGAATGTTTTGTGCATGGCTTTAATAGACCAACAGTTTTTTTCTGAGAATCTTATCTTCTGAAATAGGACACAGAAAAATAAATATTTTGGATTTTTTTCTTCTCTATTTTTACATTTTAAGATTACATTTTTGTAGCTCTCATGGTCTTATTTTAGGTTGCTAAATATTGATTAGGCTTCAGTGTTTTTAAAAAAAATTGTATCAACACTAAATATTATTTCAGTTTTGTTGGGGCTTTTCTGGATCTTTCCATCATGACTCTGCAAAGAAAGACATTTGATTCCTCTCCACCACACACACGCACGCACACCTGTTGACTTTAACTTGATATATCAGATATCTGTTTCACACTGCTCTCTGTCTCACTATCTCTGCTCCTATCATCACTATCTTATCTCTTATTATCTAGAAAAGGCTGTATAGTCAACAATGACAACTGCTTACTGGCTATGTTTGTCATGATACTGTTAATGTCTTTTAATAGTAAATAATATAGAACATACGCTGTCTTGCACGTGATGCATGAATTATTCAAACCCCCAGATCTTTTATGTTCTCTTACACACACACAAACACACTCGCACAGCGCTCTCTGTTTTCTGCACTCCCCTCAGCTGAACTAACACTTTCATCTTAGTTCGCCGGACCATGTGAGTACATCTGTTTTTCATGAGACTGTTGGAGAGACTTTACTTTTGATTAAATAGGTTGTCATAGATTCGGTTCAGCGTGTAGTCCAGACTAGAGAAACCTGAAGTAGGGGAAACATCTCAGAGAGACGACACTTCTCATGTGGAAGGACTTAAAAGATCACTCCTGTGTGTTTCATATGTAATCCTAGAAGCACTGGTCTTAAAATGCGCACTAGTTATTGTGATTATTAGTGATCATCACTATCGTTTCAGTCTCACAATGAGCTGATATTGCAAGCTTTAGTTACAAGGATGTATACTTTTTTTTAATTTCTTTGCATTATTAGAGTTCCTATGAGGGATCTTTCTGTAGTTTATTGTATTCATTATTGGCTTTGATAAAAAAAAAAAAAATGCATGGAATATGCATAGGACCAGACAAGCTTCATTGCCTTAGACACAATGTACAACAGGAAGAGTTGTGGAGTCACTGTAGCCTGTAAACATGCAGTTATAATATGTAGACACACACTATACTACTTTGTATATGTACACTAAATGTTAAAAATCTCAGAAGAAGAAAAGATGCCGTGATGTGAAAATTAGCAAGCAGCAACCACATTCACTCCAAAAAATAAATATATCTAAATGCACAGTGAGAAATATGACTCATAACCTACTGCTGCTTGAAGAAATGAGACCGAAATGAAGTTATTTGTTGTCTGATAAAGTTCAATTTTAAATGCAGACAGGTAATATAATTATAACTCCTGAATGTAATAGAGATTCAGAAGACCCACATGCTGATGTCCTTGTGTGAATCAATGGATCAGCATTTAAGCCATTGTTGATTTAAAAAGTCACATGCAGACACATCACTCTGAAAATAAATGAGCATAAGAGGCCAATGATCCACCTGGTTCTGTGCATTTCTTCATACCAGTTAGGATGGTGTCTCCTGCTATCGCTCTGGCCTTCCTCCCCCTCCTGCTGACACTTCTCATCAGGTACCGTTACTACTTTGTGCTCTTCTATCGGGCGGTCCTGGTCAGGATATGGAAGGACTGTGTTACCGGTCTGAGCAGAGAGGAGCGAGTCTTCCAGTATGTTCTCACTCATGCCACCCCTGGAGACCCTGACAGCATCCTGGATGCTTTCGATGACTGGTGCAGCAAGGTGGAGTACATCAGCAACATCGGGCCTAAAAAAGGTGGGGACATAACGAGTGGTTACCTTAAAAGAGAGGTTATATGTCTAAAGGTATGATTTGACATATTTTTGTTCCTGTATGTGTGTGAAGGGAAGATCCTGGACCGGCTGCTGATGGAGCAGAGCCCTCTCACAGTGCTGGAGCTGGGGGCCCACTGTGGGTACAGCACTGTACGGATCGCCCGAGCTCTTCCCCTGGGTGCAAGGCTCTACAGCTTAGAGATGGACCAGAGGAATGCTGCCATCACTGAGAAAGTCATCCGCCTGGCAGGTTTTGATGATGACACGGTGAGAGAGCTTAAACCTGTAACATGTTTACAAAAAGGTTATGTCATTGTCAATCCAGTTCAGGTTTTGATTCAAGTTTTTGGGGATTGTGTAAGTAAGCAAGGGATATGAATATACTCTTCTCCTCTGTTGCCCCCTGGTGGTGGTGGAATGAACTTCCAAACTCCATTCGAGGTGTGCAGAGTGCATCTTTAAGAAAAAGCTAAAGGCCCAGCTCTTTCATGAATACCTACTAACTTAATGATGAGGATGATGATGGTAATGACGATTGTTTTTGTTTGATAATGATGACTTATAAGATGGTTTCTATACTGATTAGAGCTCTCGAGAACTGCCGTCAATGTTGTGCTTTGCCTCTGGTCACTTCCTGTCAGCACCTGTGTGTCCAATCGGACCTAAAGCTGATCGTTTGCTCTTACTGACATTGTTCCCTTTTTTTCTAGATCCTTGCTTGTGTTGTACTTACTCTCTGATGTATGTCACTTTGGATAAAAGCGTCTGCTAAGTGAATTGTAGAACTGTAGGATTGTGCAGAGTTCTTGTCCTGGGGGGCACAAGTGGGGCACTGACTTCATTCAAGGATGGCATGAAAAATATATCTTCCATGCTTAATACTATGTCAATCATGATCTAGGAGTATTAATTGGCACATGGGGGGCCCATGCTAGTCCAAGCCACCTCCCAGACACATAACAACAAGCTGCCACCATTATTTTCTTTTACATTATGCCTATTTTCTGCAATATTTAGATTTCATGTATTATATATATGAAGTTTAAAAAAACCCATGTGACATCCAATGTGTGTTTTCCAGGTGGAACTCATTGTCGATCCATCTGATGAGGTTATCCCTCGGCTGCGTTCTGAATATGGTTTGGAAAGGCTGGATTTTGTCTTCATGGATCACTGGAAGAAATGCTACGCTCCAGATTTACAGGTGACTAGAATAAATCAACGGAAAGGAAGGTTACAATTTAAATGAAATGTATTAATTTCTGCGCTGAAGAGAATTATATGTTTGTGAAGGTTGCTGTTGTCTGTTTCTTTAAATATAGTTCAGATCCTCCCTACGTTCACCTTGTTATGATCCTACCTCTGTGTGTGTTTCAGATGCTGGAGGGCTCTGGCCTTCTGGGTAAAGGGACCATGATTGTTGCTGACAATGTGCTGTTCCCCGGGGCTCCAAAGTTTCTGAGACACATTCGCAAGAGCGGTCTGTACAAATGGAAGGTCCACCGGGCCACACTGGAGTACAGCAAAGGCATCAGAGACGGGATGGCCGAGCTGGTGTATGAGGGTATCAAGTAGATCCTGCCAGCTGGGGTATCACATTATATGAAACCGGTTCGATTTCAGAAGTGACAAGGGATGAATTAATAATGTTCAAACTACGTTTTTTTTTTTTTTTTTAAAGCAAACTTTGAAAAAGAGTTCCCTGAAAAGTTCCATTAATGTATTCTCCATTTGCACTTGATCCAACTCATAGAACTGCATGACTGTATTTGACTGTCACACAATACTGATCTCAATGAAGAAACAAGATCCACATGTTTCGTCTTTTTGTTCGTTTGATTTTTGTTGTTCTCACAATCCCTGTCATGGGATTGTTACACATAATGTTTTCCAAAAAAAGACCTTGTTTATATAAACAATAAAACTACATGTGTAACAAAAAAAGAAAACAATGAGCAAGTTATGCTGGGCTAATCGAGCCAAATGACATGATATTTAGTTTTTTAATAAAAGTTTTTAATTATATGTTTTATACTGAGAACTGCTGTACGTAGCCGTAAAATGTTCAAATTTCCTGGTATTCATTTTTAATTACATAAAATGAACTGTGGACTTTTTTTTACCACCCAACTTTAAAGATTGATTTTATTCTTTCCTGCTCTGTTGTTGTCTGAACCTCGGCACGATTGTAAATAAGGGTTCTTTCTTTGTGTCTTCATAGGATTTAAATAACAAATTATGACTATGAAGATTTCATTAATTTATAATTCAAATTAGTGCCAGTACGGGACTTTAAAGTTCTTTGATTTGGAAAAGCTAGTCAACCTTAATCCAACACACATCATTTTCTAACATGTTACTTTTGTGTTTCATTTTTAAGAGAACAGACAGCAGAAAAAACAGCTCCATCAAAATTATTGAAAAAGAAAAAATGCTAACAACGGACAAGCTTACCTCCTCAGGGCCACAATGCACCTGATGAAAGTCACTAGGCTGAAATGTTCCTTCCTACACAAGTGCTTGTGAACAGCTCCAGGTATCCCTCCACTCCTGCTCTGCAGTGAGCGTGTCTGTCGTTGGCTTTTTTCCCCAGACAATTTACACCAACCACAGAGCACCTTGTATGTGTTACCTGACACACAGTCAGCTTCCATTCATTTTTTTAAAAAAGGGTTTATTTCAGTATAAATAATCAAAGCTTTGGTGGGCAAACCTTTGTCTTACACATGAGAGAAGAAGATGGATATCTACTGTTGTTTTCACATTTCAATCAGTATTTTTCAGTGGTAATGGCTTTTACTTTAAGCATAATTAAAGCATATTAAAAAGCATTTTGTGAACATAATATTGCAATCTTTACAAAAAAACCCATTTGTTTGTAACTAAAGATGTGCAGGGTAAAACACACTGGATTGGATAATATAATGAAGTTTCTACATGTCTCCTAAATAGATAACACATTTTTTAGCTGACTGAACTGTTGTCTGTGCCCAGTCAGCTGTTCGGAGGAACTCTTGAGAAGTGGCACATGACAAAGTTAAAGTTTAAAAAGATGAATAGGCTGATGCCTACTGCTGCCACTGTGTGTGTACTTGTTCAACTGGCTGAAGTGGGAGCTTGTATGTGTAAGTGTGTGTGTCCATCATAGAGCATTCACACTAAGAGAAACCAAACAGCAGGACAGGTGCTCACAGCTCAGGTGCCTGAACATCTGCCTGTGCCACAGTTTTAACTGCCCTCACTTTGTAACAATGTGATTGTGTTAAGGTAGCAACACTCACAACCAAGTCCAACAATGTTCATAGCCTTCATGGCCATCACCCACTAAGATGACATGTAGCACACTTTGATTCTACGTTTCACTTGTCCTGTTCACAAAGATAAAAAAAATATCTACATCCAAGACTGAAGGGGTAGCTTTCAAGGTACAAGTGTGGAGGCAGCAATCCTTTGCCAGACAGCATAATGGAGACTAACATAGTCTTTTGTCTTATATCATCCACTGGTCTTGGTCTTGGTCTGGTCCCTCCATGTCCACCTGACAGAAAGAAACAGATTAAAGTCATGTGTTTCCCTGTTTAAGGGTGCAAAAACAAGTAAACAAGTTTAATGATTAAGAGTAATTTCAGTGCCCAAAATAAGTCAATCTAATCGTGACCAGATTTAAGTCAAGTTTTCAAATACGTTTTCTTGGGTTATTCACACATTTAACGTCTTAAGGCAGTCACGTTAATGTCACTATAAAAAGTTTTACAATCTAGTTGACATCAGACTTTAACTGCGTTGCTTTATTGGCTTCAATAAAGGCGGGTCAAATACTTTCTTTTCTGAATCATACTCTAAAGCACCTCATTTATTTCGCCGTCATCAGGTGACTCATTGTAGTCATTCATCTCGTCCATGTCTTGCATGTCTTCTTCATCTTCAGAGTCTTCTTCGCTGTCCTCTTCGTCCTCATCGTCCTCTTCTTCTTCTTCATCATATCCTGCCTGCAACACAGTAGAGACAGAGACTGAGATGACATAGATTGAGGGAGCTAGGGAAGCAGTTTTTTTATTTATTTACTTTTTTTATTTAAAATGGCATTGAAACTAAGAGTAGCATTTATGTTTTTCTTTAAGTTACACACCGAAACATCGAAAATAGGTTTCCCAATGGGCATCAGGTTGTTGTCTTTCTCAGCAATGCTCTGCAGCTGAGGTAAATACAGAGGGGACATGTGAAAACGCAAGCTACAAGACAGTGAGTAGGAAACTGTTTCAGCAGCAAAAAAAAGCAAAAAACATTTTACCCAGGTTTGGTGCTGCTGCTCTTGCTGGTGCAGCTCGGTCTCGTCCACGCAGGGTCGGTCAAGGTTGAACCATAAGGACTCAGTGATCCGAGGGAAAAGAGAGGGGAACAGCGTGGACATGACTAGAAACACATAGACGACAACATTAAAGCGGTTAAACCCGATGATTCACGACGATACTGTTGATGAGCTCTTGTAAAAACCAGAGCAGGCTACGAGTCGAGTGGGTGGCGAGGCATTGCAACACCCGGTGAAGAAGAAGTGCTCTGGCTGTTTCAAACATAGAAACTTTTTGTTTTGACTCGACGATTACTCTAAGAGAGAAATAACGCCATGCAATAAATAATAACATTTCACCCGTAGCACAAGCGACATTATATCTTACCTTATAGTAAGCCCTAATCTGCCTAGTCGTCGTTCAAGCTTTTCAAAATTCAAAATAAAAATCTAACCGGAAACCGATAGTGTTCACTTTTAATATTTCCGGAGTCGTCTTAGTCTTGTGTCATTTCTTAATGGTTCCGCATGGGAGGCGGTGTTGGCTGCTTAATTCATTCATGCCTGGGGATTTTATCAACAACAAAAAAACATGTGTACAAGTTGGTTTATGTGTTGAGATTATGGCTGTTCACTTGTGCTCTGATGTGTCAAGGCTATTAGCAGTATACATGCTGATAGACTTCTATTTGCAGCGAGTGGCTCTGTCGTAAATTGCAACGCAAGTCTGCCTTCTTAGTTTGAATTGTGTTAATTGGATTGTAAAATAACATGAAAAACCTTGAATGTATCCGATAAATGCGAGTGAATTAAACTGCTGCGAAATCAAACAAAATAGGGGGAGGGATACATCTACATGTGAAAAATCCAAAGCCCCTTTACACAACAGCCACCTCAAACATTGACACAAAAAAAGACTGATAAGTTTTACATCCCCATGTGTGCTCTGAATCATTGTTGCATCTCCTGAGATATCGGGCCTACACCCAAATTTCCAGTAAAGCGGATTTACAGCCCACGTAAACATGCTAGTTATGTTATAGTTTAAGTTGAATCAGATGATAAACAATACAGGTGCAGCAGAAACTTATCTTAACTGCTAGCTCTTTACTCTTCTTATTACCTCGAAGGTCACGCTGCCCTTTCACAGCAAAAGGCCAAATCATGTGTGTGTGTGTCAAAGAGTTGTCTGAACCTTGAGATAAGACCAACCTTGCTCTCAGTAAGACGTTATAAAACAGATGATCAAATACACACCACCTGTTTCTGTTTTTTTCTGTTTATCACATATGCACACAGCCACACACACACATACAATCACACACTTAGCACACGCACAAGGCTGACTTTGGACTTTGGATACCTATCAGTGAAAAATGCTCACACACTCCACTAACACACACTCAGACACATGTAGGCAACATCAGGAATTCATGTGTGTCTCATAAATCTTGCGAGTGTTTAAGAGGGGACAGAAGATTCCAATTTTTAGGATCAGTCCAGGAAGGACTCATCACAGAATTTAACCAGGTATAGTAATTTTTCATTATTGCTTAAAAGAAAATCTGTAGAAAAGTTTCCACATACAGTGTAGAATAAATGAAAGATCATGTATCTGTAATTGAGGATTAACTGTTTTGTTCTCTGTTTCTTCTTCTTTTTGTTGTGTTATTTAGGTGTGATTCAGGAGAAATGCTCATAGTATACATAGTTTATTTGTAAATGTGTATTTGCGGTCAACAACTAATTTTCCACGTTGTGATTTAGACTAAGAACTCACAAAGAGCAAAACAGCAATCCTAACCGCTAGATATAGAATCCATCACAGATTATTCAGTCTGAGAATTTTTACATTTTATGTTAAAATACAAAAAAATCCTACTTATTTTATCGAGTGTGTCAAGTTAAGAATATAACGAGTGAAGGAAATAATTCTTTCACTTTTACATACTTTCATATAGAGGCAAAGTAATAACAACATGTATTCCAAGTCTCATTTACTTTACAGGCAAAATTATTTTTTTTTAAAAGAGTTACAAAGGTGGACAATGTAGCATACTTTTTTTTGTTTGACTCTGTTTAGATGTATGTTGGCTGTGACCTTTTATTTTTTTTCCCCAATTTCTTGATAGACTTATAACTAACTCCACACTGATTTATTTTAATGCCTTCCCTGCTACACAGCCATGTGGGTTGCTCTGGCCTTGTTGCTCGCCCTCTCCAGTGGGGCTCTTTCTCTGGACAAACTCAACATGTGTATGGATGCAAAACACCACAAAGTGTCACCTGGCCCTGAGGGAAAACTGTACCTTCAGGTAATTAGTAGCCTACTTTATTGCCAAAACGTCAAAGATGAAAACCAAATCAATTTATGTAATGTTTTTGTGTTGTCTAAAATTTCTGAATATATTGTACACACTGACTCAGAGACAAAAAATACTTTCTTCTTTTCCTTTTTTCCCACAGTGTGCTCCATGGAGAGAAAATGCATGTTGTAAGGCCAACACCACTGAACAAGCCCACGAAGATAACTCCTACTTGTACAACTTCAACTGGAATCACTGTGGTGCCATGAGCCCCAGTTGCAAGAAACATTTCATCCAGGACACGTGCTTCTATGAGTGCTCGCCACACTTGGGCCCCTGGATACAAAAGGTGTGTTCTCTGCTGTTGTGCACTTTATCTCTCCAGTATGTGTGTGTCTGCAACACTAGAGGGCAGCATGAGACCTAGAAACAGTATGCCAGAATGGTTAAAACTACTTTGAGGTAATTGCAGTCATAAGAATATAATTACTTTGTATTATGAAGATGGACTTTGTACTGCTCTCCTGTTGAATCTGTATAACTGAATCTTTATAACTCACCAGATGGATCTGAGCACTGAATCTACAAGGCCAAGGAGTTCAATTCAAGAAATAACTTTAATGGGTTGAAATGACTAACGATTCATATAAACTAATATACTGTATGTGCGATTTGTTGTTTGAAGGTTGATCAGTCCTGGCGCAAGGAGCGTATTTTGGATGTGCCTTTGTGTAAGGAGGACTGCCATGAATGGTGGGAAGACTGCAAGAATGACATGACCTGCAAAACTGACTGGCACAAGGGATGGGACTGGAGCTCAGGTATGCATGCACATACTCACACATATGTTAACACACATACAAGAGGGTAAATAAATACAGACCTTCTGACTTTTTATATGTAATCAAAAAAAAAAACCTATCTATTGCATATATTCACACACCTCTATAAACAAACTTTCAACAAAATGCAATTACTCATAAAAGCATTGACATCTTTCATTGCTGAGTGTAAGGAAGTTTCTGCGTTCAGATGAAATCCTGTGACTGTTTGTTATCATCAATTCAGTCCAAAATTCTCTCCTTCTCTCTCTCTCTCTCTCTCCCCTTCTCCCCTACAGGTATTAACAAATGCCCTGCAGACAGTAAATGCAGAAAGTGGACGGATGTTTACCCAACAGCCAAAGATATGTGCGAACAGATCTGGTCCAATTCCTACATTTATACCACCCACTCTAAAAGCTCAGGTCGCTGCATGCAGCTCTGGTTCAACGGGACAAACCCCAACAAGGAGGTGGCAAAGTACTACCTGAACAGCGCACAGCAGCACCAGAGCTTTGCCTTGATATCACTGCTCTTTATGGCTTTCTCAGCTTTATTTGTGATGTTGTAGTGCAATCATAGCTTTATCCCGCACCAAACCCTTTGTGTTCATTTCTTTGTTACAGTTTCAGAAAGAAAAAATCTATTTACATTTGACTTATAATTCTAATATATACATGGTGTGTGCATGGTTGGTTTAACATATGACAGGAAGAATGTGATTCTCTTACTAATTATTATTATTATTATAACAATAATATTATTTTATCAAAAATATTATTTTATTAAAAAGATCCCTCTGTGTTGAATCCAGTTGAACAAAACTCATATTGTCCTGCTTTTAATATTTTTTTTCATTTTTGTTCTAATAGTTTCTTGTACAGCCAACCACAACACCTCTCTCCATTACTCTGGATTAGAACATTTTAACATAATATGAATAAACAAGATCAAATTCAACCTTTCTGGAAACATGGTATTTTGCTTTCTTTATCAGGATGAACAAATATATAATAAAAATAGCCCAATCCTAGTATCAATACCGATATGTAAATGAAGGCAGCACAGCAGTTTTAAGACTTGGAAAATGGTAGCAGATTTGCAAATCTGTGGGTAAAGTATAAAAACTAGAATAAACTTTGGCTTCTCAACAGGGCATGAAGGCGCATGCAGCATACTGTATTACTGCACAGCTCTGGCATGATATTTATTCTAATTACAAACTAGGGATCAGTTTAATAACCCCTTCATAACCTTAATAGCCAGTGAAACTGACCAAAGACCTGCATCCAGGGAAAAGTTTTGGCTCCTGTGATCATTCCATCACATGACCAACCTGGGCCAGCTAGTGGTTAGTGGGCCCCACTGCTCGGTAATTATGGAGTATGAGAGTGTGTGTGTGTGTGTGTTTTGTGTCACACAAGCTCTGTGTATGTGTGTGTGTGTGGGTGCCACGTCTGAATGTGTTCCATCAGATCTCTTGCTGAAACCTTGTGATTGGTTAGCTGCTGTGATGCAACCAGGAAGGACATTGGCTGATCAAGAGATAATTCTGAGATATTTATTGCATCTCTTGTATATGCTCTGGGTTGTTATACTCGAGGCTTGAGATGAGTAGTCTCATGATTTTACAAAGACAACGCTGGTGCAGTCAACAGTATCCTATTTGAAGATTTGACTTTACCTTCTGACTGAGCTCAAACATGTCAGAGTGCTGCTCCACTTCTGACGCTGAAAGGAACGTCCTTCCTCACTTGTCTTTCCTGTCTCATTTCTATGCGCTGTATTCAACACAAAAAAATAACACAATTATCATGGGTAAGGATTGTGTGATTTGGCCATATAAGTGCAAAAATATACATTTACAGGTTTAAATGGATGATAGGCATAAGTTGATGTAAGACCTCAATGCTGTCTGCTTACCATATAGAAATACAATATATATTGAATATAATATGAAATTGTAGCATAAGGATATTGGTGTTAACTATTTAGTCATATACTGTATCGATGCACTTGCATGTTGCATAAAATGCAAAAAGTTATGCTAGCATGTGGACTTTGCACTAAGAAGATTGTAGATATAGAGGCAGTAACATTAAAAGGGCTGCTATGCCTGTCAAAGTTAAGCTGATGAAGTTGCATTTAAAACTTACTTTGTCATGTCCAAAGAGCATAGCCTTTATACAATGGCCTAAAGCAATCCTATCATTAGAAAATAGAACTGGGAAAAAGCATTAAAAGCCTTGGTTATGTATAGACAACCATACTACACTCACTGTTCATCCACTCAACAATCGAGCTTTTGAGTGTGAGTATTTCAGCCCTCTTAACATTGGTTATAGACTTTTGTCTTTATAGCAGGAAATTGTGGTAAGAGGCAAGAAGAAAATGTGCAAATTTAGTTTTTTTATTTAATTTCTGGATAGTATTTTAATGTTGATGTGACATGCAGCAGCACACTTTTACGATCTCTGCATGCAGACGTATTGTCAAGCCACATCTTTTTTCAGCAGTCTGACACTCTGCTCTATACTCACACATACACGTTCACATACACAGACAAAGACACACATGAGTATACACAGTATGATGCCATAGCCAGAAATAGCATTGGGATGGCTGCTGTCCCTCTGGCTATTAATACTCAGCGTTTCTGAGGTCATTGACAGCACAAACCACCCTGCCCAACTCTCGCCCTCTCTCTCTCTCTCTCCCTCCCTTTTACTCTCCCTCCCCTCTGGCTTTGTTCGGATAAGTGCATCAATGCCCAGGAGTCTGATTGTGTGATGTCTTCTTAAGGAAAGGTTTAAGTAATTAAAAAAAGGGGTTTTCTGCTACTTAAGACAATTATTCCCTGTGTGTGTGTGTGTGTGTGTGTGTGTGTGTGTGTGTGTGTGTGTGTGTGTGTGTGTGTATGTGAGTGTGTGTGTGTGTGTGTGTGTGTGTGTGTGTGTGTGTGTGTGTGTGTGTGTGTGTGTGTGTGTGTGTGTGGATAAATAAGGATATTATTGAGGTCTGATCAGATTTTAGCTGCGATATCTCTTCATTCAAACTGGTAGCTCAAAGCCATCTAAGCCATGTGAAGTCCCCAATTATTAAATCAAGTGTAATCTTACATAGAGCTTTTAAAATCACAGAAATATGAGCCCATGCCAAGAACCCATGTTATAGGATTTGTTAATACTCCAACAAAGACGGGGACAGAACTTATTGTAACTGTTTTGAAGTTCAAACCCTAACATTATTATCATTATTTTATTTGCTGATGTTACATTTTGTAGGCGATACAAAATATGATCCTGCATAGTGACTTGTCTGAAGCTTAAAGTTTAATGTAGAGTATGTAGGCTACATTATTTACCTTTAAAGTGAATTATAAGTTGTGTAAAATTACAGAAATGTGTTAGACTAGATGGGTAAAAATAGGCTTGTTTTATTTTTCCTCTCCTGCACAATCCCTTCACTTCTCTTCTCCGTCCAATGCGTTTCTACTCTCTATGTATCCATCACAGTTTCTGGTTATCCCATAGACTTCAGTCGATGGTTTCATCCCTTAAAGTAGAGTCCTGTCAAGCTATCGGAAGATACATCAAATCCGGAAACAAGCTGCGTTGGCGACTTTCCCTTTAAAATATAGCGCCTCGCTGTAAATTATTTCAAAGCCTATTTTATTTTGAACCTCCCGGCAGGAAATGCATCTCATCGACACTATTTTTGCTTTGACATGGGTCGCCCCCACTGTTGCTCCCGGTCTCCTATGTGGATTTACATACCCTGATTTCCGTGGGACTGGGAAGTGAAAGAGGAGGGTAGAGAGACTTCCAGGAACTGAGGAAACGGACACAAACAGCGCAATTTAACAAATGGACAACTTTTAGCTCCGTCTTTGGCTGGCCTGTGACTTCTATTCACCGGAATAACGTTAACTTTACGCTTCTTTTTTTTTTTTTTTTTTTTCCTCCCTGTCTGCTCTCAATAATTGCGTGACTGGATGAATTTGTAGGCTGGAGGAGTGCGGCGAGGTTTTCGAAGAGGTCTGGAAACAGCTCGAGGTTTAAGGGCTGTGGCCATGGCCGGGGGCGGTGGTGGAGGGGTTTCTCCGTTGGGGCCCGCACCTCCGATGTGGTATCACCGGGACCTGAGTCGAGCTGCGGCCGAAGAGCTGTTGGCCAGAGCCGGGAGAGACGGCAGCTTCCTGGTGCGGGACAGCGAGAGTGTGAACGGAGCGTACGCTTTGTGTGTCCTGTAAGTAACTTTACCACGGGAAAGAGAGGCTTGTTTTTGGAGCTTTTCTAAACTCTTGTGTACAACCAAGTGTTGCTTTGTCTTAACTTGATATGGTTAAGGCTTTGCTGAGGTTTTAGTTTGAACCGTGTTTTTTTTTTTTAGAGTCCACAGCTTGCAGATATCCACAGGGTTGTCACTGCTTTGTTTGTAACCCTCGAAGAAATGTCAAGTTGTAGCTCTTTAAACTCCCCCAGTCAGCTGCGAAGTGGTATCATTGTGAGCTCAAATTGATCATTGAGGCTTGCGTTAAAGGTTTCAACCTGACGCATTTGTTTACTTTGCTTGTGTATGTGAGTGAGTGGCAGAGAGGGAGAGACTGTCTGTCTGTCTACCCAGCAGTGAAACTCCCAGCATGGCACACAACTTTAGGGCTGTCCATGTCTGTCTTGTGTCTGATGTGGTCGCCTGCAGCCGCTTTTTTTTTTCTTTTTTTTTTTTTTACAGGGCACTGAAACTGGATGGTGGTGGAGGTAAATATAAGCATCTATGGGCTGGTAAAGCCTGGCTGATGTTTTAATTGAAGACTCGTGTAAAATGAGCGCAGCAGGGGAGCAGCTGGCTTAGCTGTGGCGTTACAAAGCCTATTTCTTCTCACATACAAACAGCAACAAAAAAAAATATACAACAGCCTAATCTTTATATAAGGGCTGTATTGACTGATTAGACGGAGGTGGAGTCTTTGACCATCCTTGTATTTATAAGGGAACTTTTGCCACCCACTACCTCTATGTTCATCAAACATCATAAATGAAATCATCCGCTATCTGCTCAACCGAAATGATCTGTACAATTTCTCTGACAACCACGTGGTTAACTTTCAAGACACATGCCATTACGCAGATAACACACACACACACACACACACACACACACACACACTTCACTGTGTCCTTGACAAGTCAAATAACCCATGGAAAAGGGATGTTAAATGAAGAAATAGAAATTGAGTCAAAGGAGTTAAAAGTCTATGCTGCCATGTGACACTCTGACATTGATTTGACCTACATGACATCCCCTATCTGATGTTTACCCCCATGCTGAGTTCAGTGTGTGTTTGTGTGTGGGTGTACATGTTCACCAAAACCTACCAACGCCTACATATGTAACTGATTACACTTTTAATTACGTACTCACCACACAGAAGTCTTTTCACTCTGCCAGCTTGACAGACTCCAATGCGTTGCAGTACCAGAACCAAGAAAAAAATCATTTTGGTTCCTGGAATATATATACAAAGAAATGCTAGATCAGAGAGCTTACTATATAGGGGTGCAGACAATATCCCTTTTTCATACTTTGCTGAATGCACCAGTAATTCATTAGGTCACTCTGCCCGCAACATTCCTCACATCCATGCATCATCTGTTTCCGGATTTATTCACGCCTCCACCTCCACTACTCCCTTCCTGCCCTCTTTCACCTTTCATGGACTTAAGACAATTCCTTACATGATACCTAATTCATCTTATGGACAGGCTTCAGCCAAAGCGTCTCAACAAATAATGCTACTTCTTTTTTAAAGTGTGGCCTCGACTTACATAAATCCAGTGTCACTTTTACTTTTTACCTTAATGTAAAATAAAATGACAACTGTTCTGAATATTAGCTATAGCCTTGGATTTGTTGTCACTCTGTAGTGGTCATAGAGCGAAGGAGAACAACTTGGTGGACTGCTGTAATCTTCTAATGTGGGCATGTTATTGTTTTTTCTTATCACTTTCTTTTAGTAACATATTAATAGAAGCTAATGCATTCACTGATTGAAATAAGCAAGTTACTTTTTTATGTTCAAATATAAATGCCACATATTTACACTTAAAAGAGAAAGGAGAGCTTAGATTTAGCTAATGTGTTTAAAATTTAGATTTAAGCAGCCACAAAAACACAAGTTGATATATTTGCAGCTTTTACACATTTCTGTATTTCATTGATTTCAGTCATGTATGTAAGGCATTCTTTCATGACACAGTTATTGTCATTCAATACTCCAATATGCTCTACATTGCGATACATTGCAGGACTTGATATGTGAATTTTGCAATCATGTGACGTGCCATGTGTGATGAACATTATCGACAATAGATCAATTAAACTCCACTGATTACCAGAGGGTATGTAAAGGGAATTGTAGTTTTCCTTCTTTTGAAAATGTATAATTCATGGAATAGATTCATTGTCCTTTTAGAAATAAAAATTCAAGTAGGCCCAATTCAGGGAAATGTTTATAACCTTTGAAACATATGAAACATTAGTGTCATTCAACTGGGAATCTTAGGTAAACACAGTCTCACTATGATCATTGATGTCAGCTGGCCCTTTAAATTGTATTTCAGGAATCCGTTGAATAAGTATGTGCTTTCTAGTCTTTATCCATACCCCTTAATTGTAAGCAGCAGTAAATATCGCCTGATCTTGACGCCTTGTCATCGGTTATGCAGATCACTGTTGTTACAGAGACAGAGTCTGTCTGTCTTCATAAATGATATGTTTTAGAACAGGTTTTTCCAGTATTTCACAACAACCCCTGAAGCTGTGCAGGAAAAGATGACATGGTCAAGCAGTGGAATCTCAGGCTTGTGCACTTCTATTAATGAATAAAAAAATGCATTTCCAGGAAGTGAAATCCAAATCCCCAGAAGTGTGAATAATGTTCTAGACTATGGCAAACTTGTTTAAGTTATGGCTCTATATGACGCACAGGCTGATGTGTTTACTCTGTCCTTGTGATGTCTAATATCTTTTTTTTTTTTTTTCCGTTCACTTTGGAGAATATCGTCAAAGAGAGAAGACTGTGTTTTATCTCCTTTTAAAATTGACATTTTTGTCAATTCCATGACATATTTCAGTGAAGTGTTTGTTTTCCTGAACTGTAATTCTGTTGACTGTTTGATACTGAATGATTTCATGTCAGACGTCTTTGCCCAGAGGACAACAAGATGGCACAGTGGAGGAATGGCTCAAAATTGGGTCATTCTGAGAATTTAACATGGAAACTGGCTCTTTCAAACTATGTGAATCAGGTGACCTCTTTTACATCCCTGCACACACATCACACATACAGGCCAAAAATGTTGATTTTGTTTATTTTTTTCAGACCTGAAACACGTCTACCAGACATGGCTTTTTGTCCAGCCTTTCCTCGTGACTTCTGTAAACTGACACTTTGACACTGCACTTCCTTTTTAAGAGCTTTGGAGGCACCATTGTGTTGATTATGTGTTTCCTCTCTGTTATTGCCTGGGAAGGCGGGTGTGTGTCAAGAGTGTCTTTTTGTGGTTGCGACTCCGAAGAAAGAAGCTGTGGCAGAAGTGCGATTGACTCTGATCAGGGTCCGTCTGTCTTTTTGGCCTTTCACTTCCTCCCTGAGTTCCTTTCAGTTTGGAGACTTTGGGTTTTATGTGACTGCATTGCAAGTTTTAAGATGATACTCTTTGACCTTTTTTTAGGAAGTGAACACAAAGCCAGGCTTAACATTTGGTGATAAAAATATTTATAGCCACAGCAGACTGGTTTCCGTGTTGAGTAATTGTGTGCTACAGATAGCTGTCACATTTGGGATTTAACTATTTCGGTATTTAAAACTGCAGAGTAGCTCTCCAAGGCTCCTTAGCATGAAATCTTCACATCTAAATCCAGGTTAAGTATCACTTAAGTATCACTTGGAATTCCATTGCAACAGATGCCAATCATAAGGTGATGGCATCACTGTGACAGCTTCAGAGATAATGAATTGTCTTCTGTTTTTCCTGTCAGGAAGGTATTCTTTAGCATCAGTGGAGCACGTCTTAACATGTTAGGGGTTCAGTCATGGCCCTCTGTGTTTCTGTGTGTCTGAAATGTAAAAGTGCCTGTGAAAGTTTAAATCAGCGGTTAACCAGCGAGGGTTCATGGTGGAGGATTCATTTTGTGTCTTAACTTAACAGCAGTGTTTGAATCCAACTCCACCTATCACTAGGTCCTCTGCAATGATACAGTACAAACTGAGACATAGAGGAGAGAGCATATAAATACATGCTTATGAAACAGACAGAATCAGACCAGAAGAAAAACATTCTCTTCCTACAAACAATATATCACTTGTGGGTAGGAATTGGGGTAGGGGTTAGGGGATGCGTGGCCCTCAGATAACGATACTATCCCAACACTGTGTTTCTGCAATGCTGATATAGTGTAAGAAAATCATATGATACATCACGATATCTGATTAACTCTAGAGTATAAAATGCCCCTCAAAGGTTAAATGCTGAGTGAATGTATTTATATACTGCAGTTTGGTTTCGGTTCAAATATCATTTAGTGCTGGGGCGATGTGGACCAAAACCCATATCTTGATATTTTTTTTATCTGAATGGCTATACGGGATGTAAATATGGATTTAAATCGATCTAAAACTGCACTGCACTGAGCTGCTGCATTTACAGGCTAAATAGAGATTGAAAGAGACAGAAGAGGAGGAGGTGGCACCCTTAACAGGACAGAGGGAGTCTGTGATGCAGTCGTTACACTCAAAACATACCATTGTTGACTCACACACACACACACACACACACACACACACACACTGTGTGCTTTGGGTGTATATCCATCCCATAATAAACATCTCCCTCTCCTTCCTCATCTCCCTCCCCCCATTATAACTTTGCTGCTTCTGAAACAATAGTATTTACTCCCCAGGCCTGCAGAGAATCTCCTCAGCTGCCAACAGGAAGATAAAAACACACACACACACACAGACACACAGACACACACACACAGACACTACTGTACACTGTAGTAACTCCTGTGTATGGATCCTGTGCCACTCGATCTACTATCCATTGTGTTTATCATGCGACTAAATGTATATAGGCGGCCAGAGAGACAAAAGCATCTCATGATCTTACTGACTGTCTTAACTGCAAGATCTCGATATACAAGAGCAAATATTCATCACATTTACTGCAGGAGTCATGCTGTATATGGAGCTATTATTAGCATCAGTTTGATACATTCAGAGCACATTAATCATTCAATCATGGCAACTTCTGTTCTGTTACAGTGTGGCGGCTTGATCATGTACTGATGCTGTGATATCATATCCGTGTCGTGACCTTTGTTGCATGTCTTCCCTCCTTTCCACTGGGAGTTTTCAGATGAAGACAATATTATTTTAAAAAAAAGAACATCCGTCCAATCTTTTGTATTTTGGTGTCAGAATAAGTACAGCAAGAATAAGCCAGAGGCAGACTGTAAAAACACATTGCTCACAAACAAACAAACAAACAAACAGTGCCCTATTTTTTTTTTGTTTTCTGGGGGGAAGAGGCCAAAGGTTGAAACACAGCGAGACCATATTTAAAGACTAAAATGGCTTCGCTCAAGTACATTTTGTCCGGTACGATTACATTTTGTGTGTATGCTGGGGGGAACAGAAATCATCTAATTCTTCATATAGTTTGTTGTGGGTACTTGAATCCAGTCCATGTTTTAGTTCCCATGGGACACTGACCTGGAAAGACCGGAAAAACAGCTGAGTGGACAGGGCAGGATGAATACGTGGCATGGATTCACCCTTCCCTCTCACAAGCACATGCTGTAAAAAGGCAGTGTATTAGCTGAGGTGAAAGCAGTGCTTGTGTTCCTGCATTTCCTTAACGCCCACACATCTAGACAAACGCACGACCGTGACAAACACACTGCATGTAATACACGTAAACAGACATGAACAACATTTGCTTTGCAAATTGAACATTTTGCGTGCGGTCCACTGAGCAGAAAGGCAGACATGGAGATCATTAAACTCCAGCTTGTGGCTGCAGGCTTGTAGTCAGGGCGGCAATCACAATGTCAGAGCATTGATCTGCAATAGGTTTCAGGGAAAATATGCTGCTGGTCCAATCAGAACTTCAAATCCGGCTATGTTTTGACACACAGTAGATACATTAAATTACATCCAACTAATTGTGGGAGTGATTCAAGGAAGGACTATATAATCTATACTCTTAACTTCTAATATGTCAAAAAAAAAAAAAAAGCCACTCTGATCTGCACTACTGTAAGGATAAAGCCCGCTCACTGCTGTGACAGACAGCAACAGGTTGAAGCTCTCTACCGTGTCTAAACCCCCCTCATTCTCATACATGGATACACACTCCCCTATCCACTGAGGTCAAGTACAAGTGTGTGTGTTAAACAAAACAATACCCTACAAGTCCTCTCTACTTCCCCCTTTTCACTCCGTTCGCCCCAAATATCTGAGTTACTTCTCTTCTTTTGAATGTTTCTCTTTCTTTATGCCAGCTCTCTCTTAACAACTTGTTTTTTCTTTCTCTACAGATTTCAGAAGCATGTCCACACATACAGGATCCTCCCAGATGATGAAGGATTTCTGGCTGTACAGGTAAAAGAGGAGACACACACACACACACACACACAGAGTTAAAGGTTAAGTGTGTGTACATGTGTGCAGCAAAAGCTGTATTTGCTTCAGTAGCAGCTGGCAGGCAGAGATGCTTTTGTTGGCTGTGAGCTCTCACTCACACAGACACACTAACAGCAGCTTCTTTGTGCGTCATGGCCAACAGCTGTGAAGTCCCCACCACACACACACACACACACACACACACACACACACATACATACACACACACACATTCAAGATGGGGCTTCATTCGATTCATGTGGCCACATTTCAGACATCTGTGCCCCGACTCCATACTGTATGATTTTTAGGGTCTAAGCTGTGACATTTAAGGGAGTCTAATTTTGCTTCCTGGAGCAAAATATGTTTGGAAGTAATGTTTAACAAAACACCTCTTCCTGGTTCGAGTATATTTAGACTACTGGGTCATGTTTCCTTACCCAACATTAAATGTGGAACAATAGGAGCCACTAGAGATTTCAGTAACAGGATAACTTACTGCCTAGAATTAAGGATGTCATTGTTATGTTGATACTTGATATGATGTAGAAAATAACTCTTCCTCTATGTATTCCTTCCTCTTCCTCGATCTCTCTCTCTACCAGACATCTCAAGGTGTGCAGCCTAAGCGATTTAAAACGTTAGCAGAGTTGGTTTTGTTGTACCTTCAGCCCAGCCAGGGTCTGGTCACCACCCTGCTTTTCCCTGTGGACAGAGAGGAAACAGCTGTCAGCGATGACCGGGACTATTCAGGTATCTCGAGAGCCGGATCTCTGTGTTCTTCTCACTTTATGCACACGCTAACTTTTCTCTTCTGTGATTGGTAGATGGGGAGGATGAGAAGCCACCCCTCCCTCCTCGCTCCGCCTCCACCTCCACTTCTCCTGGACCAGAAACACCCACTGAAAGGTACATGATCTACATGAGGAGTTTTGTGGAATCCCGTTCATGAGGTTGTCTACAAGTGCTGCAATTGAAATCCCAAACTACCTGCTGGGCATCTTAGACGCACAGTACAGTATATAACTTCCACCGCCAGCAGGCTCTCATTCAAAACACTAACATAATATGACATTGAGGCTGGCGGGAAATCATGGGAGGGATTCTCTTGGCTACTCCACCACCCCAATGAAAACCAACTCCAAGTTGACCGTAGTCCGGAAGAACGGCAAAACAGACCCAAATATGTTTACAGACGATGTATCCAAGTATTATTTGCAAGGCTTAGTCAACACACACCACACCGTGCACGCGCGCACACACACACACAGAGGACAGATGTTGCATCATGGGGACAAATGGTGTGTTCAAAAAAAAATGTTTAAGCAGAGTTTTTATTGATTATGTGAAAAAAACACTTTTACTTTGGCTGTAGTATGACAAGCACACAGATATTCATCATTTGTGAAACCACCAAAATGTCAAAGAACATCCTACTTCAGGGATGGTTGATACTTTTTTGATAGGAAGTTTTTTTTGGACTTTTCATGATAGAATAAAGCTTGGGCCAGTCAAGTTTTCTTAGCCTAATTAGAAGTCACAGTGTGAGCTGTTTTAAAAGAACGTAAGTGCAGAGAGTTCTAGTTGCAAAAATAGATGTTTAAGTTAGAGAGGCTTAACTGGATGTGGTTTTTTTAATTGGCTGTTTAACTGTGTTGTATGGGATGCAAGAAACAATACAATTGAAACCAGGTGTATAATCTCTCAGCATCGGATAGAGTTCTCTACATTGTAGAGGTGTAGTTGGTTGTTCACCGTGTGAGGCCAGGGGGTCCTGCTGCCTTGCATAAGTGAGTGTGCGTGTCTGTGGTTGGCAGGGAAGACATAAGTCAGGGCTCTGTTCAGAGGAAGTGTGTGATTCTGAAAATCCTGACTGCACAAACGCTAGCAGATTTACGCTCTACTTTGGCAGTATGCAACTGTGAAACCCAAATATCAACTGAAATGGTATAACATTTATAAGAGATTTACTGTATGTATGAAAGAAATAGAATTTGACAGAAAGACAGAACACATGAAAAATCTGAAAAACAGACTGTAAAGTTGTATGTCTGACTTCAGGATTGTAGCTTTTGCAGTAGCACTGACAATGTAGACCATTTCTTGTATAAAATGTGAATTAAACTATGATTATTCTGCTATAACTTGCTTTCATTTTAATCTGTATTCTTCTCTGATGGAGGCATGTGCATGTAATGAAGGTGGTTGAATATATGTATTCACTGTACTGTATTTGAATTTGTTTTAGCGCCCCAGCAGCTAACGGCCTGAGCACAATCTCCCATGATTACCTGAAGGGCAGCTACGCTCTGGACCTTGAGGCAGTCAAACAGGGAGCCAGCTCCCTACCTCACCTCAACAAGACACTAGTGGCCTCCTGCAAGCGCCTAAATGGGTAAGAAGGACACAATAGTACATCAGTAGAGACACATTGTCCAAAGATACTGACAAACTATGTGAGGATTAACAGCCTGAAGACGTGCGTGCTATCTAAACACAGCTTTTGTTATGGCCACATGACATTTGTTGTAAATTTAAACAGAGTGCTTAGCCGCGGTAAATTAACTTTCATTTGAATTAAAAAAAAAAAAAAAAAAGTAGCTGTGTAATTTGGGAATTGTTGCACAGCCACTGCATGTACTAATGTACATCGTTAATATGTTTTCTATAAACCTAAACGAAAGGAAGACATGACAGGATGTTTAAGCTTTGAAACAAAAGCTGTTTTTCTTTCTCTGTTTCCCCATGCAGGGAGGTGGATAAGGTTTTGTCTGGTCTGGAGATCCTGTCCAAAGTATTTGATCAGCAGAGTGCTTTCATGGTCTCCAAGATGATCCAGCAGGTACGCATCTTTGTTACTTCATGTGTGTTTGTGTCAGTGTGTAGAGTGGAAACAAGTGAAGGTAATCCTTTGTTTCTGTTGTCCTGCCAGTATTAAACCCCTTTTCTGTACGTGTGCTGTACAGCATACTGCATGTGTTTGGTGTGTGTATATATATATATCAAACATATTACACTTCACTGAATGTCCACACTGTATGTTGCCATTACAGAGATTTCAAAATGTGAACATAAGCCGTCTGAATTTGTATTGAAGCTTTTGTGAACCGTTGTTAATTTCATAATTTCAATAACCGACCACTTGGGCAGAATATCGATTAAAGTTCTCTCACTTCTTCATTGGTTTTTCTTCACATTTGAGAATCATCACATAACATTCTTCACTCTGAGTTATGTGTGTCCCACGGGAATATTTAATCAGTTTCACAGATGATGAAATATGTGACATAATGTCCCCAGGTAACAAATCAAGTCTTCCTAAAGCTCCTCGTGTGCCGAGCAGCCAATCAGAATACATGACTGAGACTCTATAACAAGTTCTTAAAAAAACCTGGAGAAACACTTAGTTTAAAGAGACTGAATGGACTGTGTGTTGTAACACAAAGTGGAACCTATATATACATGCTTTCCAACACATTTACACAAGAGGGTATCCTGAGGAAATGTTTTTTTTTTCTTTCTTTGTGGTCTTTTTAGGACAGCTGAGGTCGACTTAGTCACACTACAGTCATACACACTGATCTTAAAATAGCATATCACAAGGAAACTCTCATCTGTGTGTGTGAGGCTGTCTTCATTGTAATGGTCTTCTAATAGTTGCTCTTAACACAGTTCTTAATACTTAGACAAGATGTCTATGCTCCCAGCAGAAAGTCTGAATTTCCTGAAGATTATCATATATTCACAGAAATAAGATGAGGCCTGTTAATTGTCATATCAGTCACTTGTCATCATGCACACACATGTTGTTTTATGTTTGAATAAAAACTGATTTATGTAAACATTGGAAGACTGGTTGTGCAGCCTTGAGAACAGTCTGCATCTCTTTTTCTGTGCAGTTTAACACACTGCAGAAGTGTTGAATGTTTTATTTGTGTCTTAAGTCAATGCATAATTTCATTGCATATTTCAATAAATGATAGTCTATGTCTTCCTCTGTAAAAACATTTACTGCATCCCTTAGAAAACAGACCTAAGTCCTTTTCTGTTTGTTAATAGCTTGCAATAGTTCTCACTTTTTTTTCCCCCTCCATCAGTCGGTGAATCAGGGTGGAGACCAGGAGTTGGAGAACCTTGTGACCAAGCTGGCGATACTCAAAGACCTGCTGTCCTCCATAGAGAAGAAGGTACACAGTCAATTACATTCACCATACAGTCATTTGGAGGCGTGCATCCTTACACATGATCACATGGCTCCGTCTCAGATTCACACAAACACACACACAGAAACAGACACTGGCAGCTGTTGAGTGGAAGTGCTTAGTTTTGATAACCCTACCAGTATGATGGATCATCTGTCTAGAAGTCCAGCTCGCTTCACAGCATGATGATTTCAGGCTCAGGCTAGACAGTGTGTGCGTGTGCGTGTGCGTGTGCGTGTGCGTGTGCGTGTGCGTGTGCGTGTGCGTGTGTGTGTGTGTGTGTGTGGAAAATATTGCCTTTTATTTTTGACACTTCTTGAAGACACATACATTTAGATAAAGATCAGTTTGGGGGCTTTTGGTAGAGCAGTTATTTGTCCATGTCTTTAGCTCCAAAAAAATATTCCGGCTGTAAACCTCACCAACAAGACTTTGTTTCCTTGTATCAGCTCTTCTGTAATTAAAGTTTTGAGCTACATATATAAGGAGGGGCTTCAGCTTCACAAGGAAGGAAAAGGCCTCAGTGCGATCACACTCCACTTCTTGACTCGTGTTGTCACCGGCTCCACCTTCTCTGCTCCTGCTAGGTCACATCCAGGAAATGGGAAACTATTTCCTTTTGAACACTAACACTGGAGCTGAAAACAATCCAATTTATCTGCTTGTGTCCGTTTGTCTTTCCTTTAGCGTGTGTGTGTGTGTATGTGTTCTTTCCCGTTTTCATTTTTTTTTTTCTGCCCTTCTCTGTCTTTTTGCTCCTCAGGCTCTAAAAGCTCTACAGGACATGAGTCTGTCCTCTCCATGCTCCCTTCCTCCTCTCTCCATGCGTCACAGCAAAGCCATCCCTGTGCAGGCATTTGAGGTATGCATTAAATAGTCACACTTCAGGGTGAAGTCAGTATAAAGGAAATGATGATGATGTCATTTGTTACTGGCTGTTGGTTTTTCAAGGAAGTGAATAAAATGAAAACTAGTAGTCTTTTTATGTAAGGAAGGGGGTGGGTATAAAATCTGCATTCATCATCAGTTATTGTCAAACTGAGAACAGTTTTTTTTTAAAGGTGACTGAAATAAATATGTAAATGCTGCGGTGGTGTAGTTGTCCGTCAAGCATGCTTTTTCATTTGAATTAGTGAAACGTTTGACTGCTTAAAGATTGCAGGGTGTGATTTCTCACCAGAAACATTATTTACACATGTACAGGACAAGATCAACAAAGAGATTGGAGGCATGCTTTGTTCCAAAATTTACACAAACTTCAATTTTATTAACAAGACTCTTAAATGATTTCAAAGTCAAATTGTCTGAATGGTACATTCAAGCTCTACCCTGCTACATGCATCAGGATGCAACAGTATTTTCATATGTTTTACAATATGTGCAGATATAAAAACCTGTTACTCCAGCATATAATGTAGAAAACAGATTTACTCTGCACGGTCAAAATGTTGCAGGATCTGATGACAGTTGCTGTGTAAAAAAGGTTTATTTTGATTTCAGTCAAATATTTCAAAATATTGGCCAGCATTTGGTAATTGTCAATTTGTAAAATCAGATT